AGTAGGGTTCTGGCCACTCTGCTTCTGGTAGGCGAACGGCTGTGGCTTCATTCTCTTCTCCTTTTCTTGAATTCTCTGTAGGTTTTGGTCCACAAGCATGCATTTCTTCGCGAATTCATGTAGGGTGGTAGCTCCCATTTCTGCAACAAGGGCTTTCTGCATGCCTTGGTTGATTTTAAATCGGAGATCGTCAAGCAAGGTCTCTTCTGAGTAGTCCAGCTCTGCAGTGAGTCTCTGGAATTCAGCCCAGAATGTTGTGAAGGTATTCTTGCCTTGGTATAACTTGCGATACTCAGTTTGTGCAGTGTGTCTCCTATCGGGGTCGCTAAACACTTTCTCGAGGAGTTGGAGGATTTCTTCTGCTGACTGAAGCATGTTTGGTGAGGTAATGCGAAGCCTTGGGTTCACATGGTGAACTGCGAGTCCTCCTAGTCTGCTTTGGAGATAACTCATCTGCATCTTGTCATTTGGGAAGTGGTCGATGTTGGCTTCCAGCTTGAGTCGGATCTTCACAACCCAGTCTTCAAAAGCTGGTTCAATCCCATCTGTAAGAATAGGAGGATCCGGAATGCGAGCAGACTGGCGAGGTGCTGCATTGCGAATAGGAGCTGTATTCTCAAGATATTTTTGAATGCCTTGCAGTTCAGTAATCTTTTCATCCTTGTCTTAAATTTCTTCTTGGAGCTGTAGAATAGCATCATTTCGCTCTGCAATAGTAGCATCAGAAGCTTGACCGACGATGAGGTAGTCCTTCATAATGGCTTTCAACATTGACCAGGTGTACTCTTGGCTGCTAGGTGACAGCTTTTGGAATTCAGTGTAGGTGTTGACATTCCAATTCCTCATCTGGTGGCCGTTTGATAGTATAGACTGGTGTCTTTCTTGAGCTGTTTTGCCCATCCTCTTGAAATCTTCTTGGGCTTCGAGGAAGTCATCTTGAAGTTCATCTCTCTTCTCAGACTCATCTGCCAAGGTTGTTTTCTCATTTATAGACTCATAGTCTTCTGAGTTTCGGTCAGCCATCTTCGCTTTTTCTTTGGCTGTGTGTGCCATAGCAGCTTTGCTATTCTTTCAGTTTTCGTATTCAGTAGATCAGACTCGTATCGCCAAAGGCCCTATTGTGCAGTTTGTCGACTGTAGGAGCCACTCGATTTGGCTCTGTTTCCTAAGACAACACACTGTCTTAGGAAAAAGAGCCAAAGGGTCATAGCTTAGACTATTCCACAACGCAGCAATCAAGTGTATGATGTAGTGGAGTGGTTTAGACAAGTTGTAACAAATGTTGAGTCTGAGAACTCAGGGATAAGTCAGAGGTTAGCACCTCACTGACTTTTCAGAAACAAGGAATAACAAGATCAATGCTTGGAAGCTTGAAAAAGACGTGGAAGTATGTGATAGTCAATTTACTGTATTGTCTGCTTGCCCTTTTTTAAGGAAAGGGCAATCCTATTTATGCTAAAGGAGTGTAGTTCTCTCATTTTCCAAGACTTTCCTGGCTAACCAGGCTTGGTAACTGTAGTCGACGTAAGAGAATCCCATAGAACCCATCTCCTAGGTTCCTAGCCTATAGGACCAAAGTCAGAGTACCCCTATAGACAAATTATGTCATAACTTAACCAATCTTGTGGGTAACTAAGGAGCGATGACGTGTAATGAATCATAGACGGTTGTAGAAGCTTTTGAAGCTATCGTTCATGTTCCTAGGCCTCTAGTTGATAGAGATATGTCATGTGTAGTATTAGCCCAGTAACTAAGGAGTGATGTCATGTAATGAATCATAGAGGGTTGTAGAGATATGCTATGTGGTCATATCGGCCCAGTAACTAAGGAGCAATGACGTGTAATGAATCATAGAGGGTTGTAGCAATCATTGAGTAGTATTGCTCTTGTTGTTGGTGTGACAAGCCAAAATATGTATAGTGACTTGTAGGTTTGAGGAGGAGATTTCTAAGTTTGCTCTTGAGTTTGATAGCAAACTGAGTGCAACGAATGTCAGTATGACAGTCTCCCCCTTCATCAGGTTTACCTCAATTATACAACAATCCATACTACTCTTCCAAATCCTGAACAGTAGCTAAGATTCTACATGCCTGACAAAATCCATTGAACTATCACAGGAACACATGCCATCTATCTTTGTATCAAATACAGTACTCTCTACTATTCTTGAAGCCCGTACAGTGTTAAACACACCTACAAAGCGATATATTCAAAAGTTAGCAGATGCAACAGAGCGACTAAATACATGCAATTTTCTACAACAACGTGATACTGACAATCTACGATCAATTGTTCAAGCTCAAGCTCGGAGAGTACAGCAAAAAGGCAAGCGAGCAATTTTAAAGGGTCATTTTCATATTTCTACAAGGGAATTGCAGCTATAGGTCATTGAAGCAGAGGAGGCTACTTAACATTGTTAAGGAGAGGACCAGTCTTATTCCAAGGAAGGTGCACAATGCAAGAGGCCATATTGTCTTTTCCAAGGTAATAATATCGGCATTTGCATACTAGGCGGTGCTAACAATGCATAGAAAAGCTCACTTGGGATTTGCCGCGAAAGAAGCCATGCCTTTCCTCGCCCATCGGTGTTCCTTTATTGCGATTACCCACCGAAATAATTTTCCAAATTATATCTGAAAATGTAGACCGAGAAAATCTCTTGAGGGCTTCCCAAGTGAAGCCTTTGAAGCACGTCCTTACCATGGATCTTTTCCGTTCTGCCTACACCGAGGAAGTTAGGCGTGGAGAGTATACACCTGATAAAGCAATGGACACTATTACCAAACACATCAAAAAACCCCAGAAGAGGTTCTGATGATTTTTGAAGTCACTTGGAAAGGCATAGTCCATGCAGGGGACTTAAAAGGCACATTTTCTTTCCTGCAGGACCTTTGTGACAGATTGAATGATGCAGATTTAGATTTCAACATCGTGCTACCGTCACTGGTAACTCTGTATGATAACGTTATTCGAGAGACCTCATGGGAGGCTTGGGCAGGCGGGTTTACAGCAGCAGGTTACTTAGTCGAGGAACATCGAAGTGATAGCACTTTAAAGATAACACGAAGGATACAGCATGATGCTGCTTCTAGGGGATGAGAAATAGTATGCCAGAGCGTGTCAAAAGGCCAGCAGGACAAAGCCTTCTGTGTGTTAAAGGGGCTACGTCAATATTACGATATAGAGTTGTATCGTGAGGAGAAGAGGTATCTCGAACGGGGGCATTCTGAAGGAAGAAGATTAATGACGCCCTGATCGAAGTTGTTCGGGCAATGCTCCATCTTGCTATTCAGGAACGTCGATGGGTCAAGGCCTCCCGTTAGGCATATGCACTGTTGGGCCTCAATAGAGATGTCAACAGTTACATACAAACACTCGAAAACATCTGCAGCAACGCCATCTCCTGTCTGCGTGACATACATGAGCTGGGAGTGTTGCAGGGTTATACAATAGCCAGTAATGTTCTCGTCCACCCGGATCGGCCAGATATTATCTGAATTGACTTTGAACGAGCCGAGCTTATACGTCCACGAGCAGTACTATGAAGTCTATCACCAAATCAGAAACGGAGATGCCCGAGGGGCAAAGAAAGGATACCAAGAGAACGCCTTTATCAGAGATACGCCAAGCTAGAACGGAGCTGGCGAGATTATCTCGACCTATGACATAGTGGAAGCGGGGGGTAATGGGAGACGACACAGTCTGAATGATGAGGGTACAGTTTAGAGGGGCAGTTTGGGATATCCTGAAACTAGCAATGTAGAGTACATAGTACTATTTTATTGTTCGTCTACATAATATTAACTGTGGAACAATATCCGTAGGATCCGTGGCAGTAGCTAGAGATATATTCTTATAATTGAAGCTATTCTAACTACTATATATATATACTGTTACGGGCTCTATTCCTGTGCCTGTTCGCGGCTCGGATCCTGAAACCCTCCTGGTTTCCTTCAGAATCGAAGCTTTAGAACCGGAAGATCCAGTATCCGGAGGATCATGAAGCTGGCTGACTGTCGGAAGGGCAGCGTTCAGTCTTCGTATCAATAGAGAGCTTGACCACGTAACTATCTACAACATGACTTCCCACTGCCCTGTTCAGCCAAGGCTCTCTTACACTGACACAGCTTCGGTATCAGGGCCCTGATCCCTGCTTCCGGGCCGAGAATTCAACATTAACCGTTAAATACATCGTTTCTATAGGTCCATCTGATTCCTTGCGGCCCATACCACTGACTGCGAAGTCTGTCCAGTGATTCCTTTGCAACATCTGTATAGTTCCTGAACAACCCTATTATGTCGTTGGCATCCGTCCACCGATCCTCCGAAATGGCATTTGGCGACAGGTTGTGAGATTGGCGATCGCAACGGAAAACCTCCAAAGCTTAGAAGCATCATATGGACAATACGGACAGCACCTGCTAGGCTTTCAACTTTCGTATCTCCTAGATGCACAGACAGACACTTCCCCTGAAATGAAAGGAGACGGTGGTACATTTTTGATTCATGAAGGGGTGCCATACAGAGGGGGCCAGCTGACTAAGACCTTCGGTCCGAAGCCTTTCGGTCCGGGCCAACAACAACAACAACAAATACAGACAGCCTCAACTCCAACTATCAACGTCAATCTCCGACTCGATTCATCCACATTAGCAAGTTGGAAACATTAGCCGCTATTCTATTGTTATGTATGTCCGCACGCCTGCGACCCCGCCTAACACTTCCCTTGCTCCACCATCTCAAGTGCGATACATTATCTTCCGCCATCCGGGTTACGACGATGCGCGTAATGTCTTGCTCAAACTCTTTGCGCCTGATGCGTCCTCATCCTCGTCATCATCTGGTTCTTCAGGCATTGGCTTGCACGCCGGCTATGCGTTAACGGCTTGCGGTATCATAGCCGGAAATCGATGGGATGGCTGGCTCTCGGAACACAGACACCGCTATGGAGGTCGAGATGACTCCACCCGAATCACTTTTTGTCCGCTGATCGAGAGAAGATGCTAGACAACCACAGCTACTACTTCCACTTACCCCACGATGACGATGACGACGACGAGGATACTCGCTCGCCATATCCAATCGTGCCGACGTTTCGAGAGTGGCCCTTCCCGCACGACCAGCTGCCGCCGTCTTGGACACAAACTGCACCGCCCGAATTGTTGGAACAACCACAGACATATTCCGTTTCCAGTCTGACCATGGCGCTGCGACAACGTGATGTAACCTGCCGCATCACCGGCTATCGAGAAGGGCTTCAAACGGCGCATGTGTGCCCCCAGGCGGAAGAAGATTGGTACCTACGAAACAGCATGCCGAGATATAATTCTGGGAATTCCGAAAGCGTTGATAATCCAGCCAATGCTCTTCTTCTCCGCGCAGATTTGCATATTGCTTTCGACAAGCCTAGCTTCGTCTTCGTCCCTAAACCCGCTAGTGTTGAATCGCAACAGTTTGTTCTCCACCTGCTCGAGCCATCTCAGGAATTTGAATCTCTATATCATAATCGAGCGATGCAAAGTTTTAGGAGTGAGTGTGGAGCTCTTGTTTGCACGTTTGGCCTGGACCATTTTCCCATTAGTGGCCGGCTTCCTAAAGGGCAAGATACAACGACGCCTACGATTAAGCACGATGATAAACAAGGCAGATGGGGCAGAGATGGCAGCTTTCTTCGCGTCGGCAGAGCAGTGCGAGGATCTAGTTTCGAGGACATCCAAGTCTCGAAATGTTAGTCCCATGAAACGCGGTAGACCGGAAGACAGTGTACGGGAGGCAGACACAGACTCATCGCGAGAAGATGAGCATCAACGATCCCGAAAACGTCGTCGACGTTCTAACTCAGTGCAAGATCTGGCAACCATGGAGGAAACTTCCCTCGGTGCTCCAAGTACAAACGTACCCTCGCCTACGACGCCGGTTTCTTTTCAAGACGCGGCATGCCTTCGGCAAGAATGGTTACACGAAGAAAGACAGCGCTCTAATCCGAGCCACCAATGGGAGGAAGAAATGGCATGGGCAGCTGGTGTCTACAAAGGAGATGTCACGCTTGGCGAGACCAATGCTGAGCGATGGCTTGAGTTTAATGGCGGGGAGCACCCTCCCAACAAAGAGCACTGGGACTACTAACTGGAACCTATGGTGACCGCTTTAGCCGGGTATTCCATCTGCGCTTCTCGTGGTGATGACGGCGGCGACAAAAAAACGAAACTCAGTATGGTCTAGGGATGGCAATTATAGATGTTTATCGTTCTGTAAAAGCTTGCCGCGACGGAGGGGTACAGTATCCCTCAGGCCGTCTTGGAGAAAGCAACGCATATGATGGTGATGAACGGCGTTTGCGGTACGACTTGCGAGGTTGAGAACTTGACTCTGCGGGCACATGCAAGGCTGGCTGTGGCTCAAATGCGGGTGTACGAATTAAGAGCCTGATTTGCTGGAATAGAGAGGGGCTTCTGTTATGACGGTACACAGGTGCTAGGGTTGGGACAACCATTTGTTTCCTTTCTAGTCTTGGGTATTACGTGACCGCAACTGTAAGTACAGCAAATCTCCCTACATACAAGGTGCGGAACCATTTGTAGAACCATCTCCGATCCTCAGCTAATACACAAGGATGTGTACCATTTATACGGACTATTACAGTTGCGGTCACGTAATACCCAAGGCTAGAAAGGAAACAAATGGTTGTCACAGCCCTAGCACCTGTGTACCGTCATATCAGGACGGGAGAACTTACACCTATCATTGCCCGCCTTCGTCTTAAAGAACCTCCCTCTGCTAGGCCATCGCCTTATTCGATACGATTCTGAGATTCCCAGCGCTCAAACACCGCGAACATGGATGGCTGACCCAAGATAGTTCAGGGGAATTTCTGTGACGCCTCAGAATAAACACGGAATTGGAGACTCATGATACACTGTTTACTTCCCCTGATCCTCGTTTGTTTTCATTGTTTATTATCAATAGTTCCGAATACTGTGATGTTGAACCGGAATCTATTCTGTCATGTTCCACTCCCAAATCCCTTCTCATTAGCTAAATCCTATCTTATCCTACTCACGTTGCATTCCCCATCTTCTCTAAGCTCTCCCATCCCTTGTATTCACTCCGTCATTGACCCTCATCCGATCCGTGCTCCCCTTCCTTTTCTGACAGCATCTCGGCAGAGCAAGCACCTTTTTACCCGCATAATCCGCCGGGTCGATCTCAAAACTGATACTCTCGTTTACATATATGCCTCCATCTTCGATTTCAAAAATGTTGATCTGCAGCACTTCTGGATCGGTGTCGTGGTCGAATGTAATTCCATAATAATCAATCATACTTGAATACAAAGCAGCATCAGTGTGAGGTCTCAAGGACAAGGAGTTATAAGATAATAACCTATACACGTCCGGCCTAGCCTCTACAGCCAACCTGTGTATTCATCCCGCACGACCATATCCCCAGGGATGTCAGGCTGTACCTCCCTGTGGTATATTGTTTGGAACGCCAGCTTCGCCAACTCGGGGCCGCCTGGTAACGGAAATGTAGGGTATGCCACGAAACACTTGGAAGGAGCTTCTGAATTGCTATCAGGGGACCTTCGACTTGGATTCGAAGAGGTTGGCTTAGATGGTACATGGAGGTGGTGGTGGGGTTCTTTATGGCATGGTGGGATACATAGTGGAAGAGCTGGTTGATCCGAGGGTGGAGGATTGAAGCGGTGTATGTTGTACTTGTGTGTTCCGTTCGTGAGGCGTGAGGCATGGAATATCGGGGAGACTCATTGCATCTATTGTTGTACAGTACAGGGAGTGAAGGTAAGCATGCTAACCTGGAAAACGACCGAAAGATTCTCTAGGCTGGCCTTACGCTGCACGAGGAATCTTTGGCTATTAGCTTGGTCTTGAACCCTTCGTTTAGCAATGCTTGATCGAAATATGCTGTGCCAGTTGTGGCGATGTGTTGGCTGATAAGTGCTGATAGGAATGATGGGCAAGAAGAGGGAAGGAGTGACAACAGAATCGTTTCCTAGCCCCGCCACACACGGCCACAACTCACCAGCCCTCAATGTGTAATTGCGAATAATTACAATGTTTGGAAGGTGGGATTGTTGGTCATAATCGTGACCGGCCACGATATGGAATTCTGTCGCCATAGGCGAGTTAGACGATACGTTACCCACGTGATGCAAGTGCATTAGGCAGAAAGACCAGGCGGTCAACCAAATTTGTCAGAAACAGCAACCCAAAGCCAACAACCTCTCAACAATATCAGCTTCGAGCTACAGTATGTAATATTGACATTTTATGTATTTGATCATCAAAGCTGATGGAGTAGTTAGATTAACATCAGAGGGTGGGTGCGCATCATGTCTAGTTGGGGACAGTTTCAAACACCTCTTTTAAACAAACCATAGCTCCAGTGCACATAAAATAAAGTATTAAGTCATATTACATTTGGCAAGCACCAGATCAAATACCTGTCAGCAAAACCCCTATCACACCCAAGAAATCGACGGAGCTTCGCTCGAAAATTGAGGCTACGAAACCTGACCAAAAGGGATTAAATGTTATTTTCGCTGAGGTTAAAGACTAAGTAGGTAGTAGCCAGAATATTACAAGTAGCTGTGCTAATACTATGCACCTTGTAGCTCGGCCTGTCAGGATTTGCGACATCCGAGCGGACCGAAGAAGACACAAGAGAAGTTCGTTTAACAACGGCGAAGTGCGTCGTTTTTCTTATCAAGGGAGCATTTGAAGTTGGAGGGGACAGAATCGATGGAGATGGATTAGGACATACAGGACTCTCTTCAGTTGCTACAAAATACGACAGTAGTGATTATAAACACAAATTGAGGTATATATTTTTGCTCGTTGAATTACGTCTACAGAAGCACTGGTTCTGCTCATGATTCCTGTTGCCCAGAAGTTGGGCGTATGAATTCCTCCTTGATTCCCCAACGCATTTCCTGCTGCTCTGGCGGTAGAATTCCCGTTGGTGTCCGCCCAGTTTTCCTCTTGCGCAGACGTTGGCCAATCGCGTATGAACTCATCTTGGATTCCCCAACGCATTTCCTGCTGATCTGGCGGTAGAATTCCTGTGCTATCTGCCCAGGTTTCCTCTTGCGCAGATGTTGGCCAAACGCATATGGACTCATCTTGGATTCCCCAATGCATTTCCTGCTGATCTGGCGGTAGAATTCCTGTGCTATCTGCCCAGGTTTCCTCTTGCGCAGATGTTGGCCAAACGCATATGGACTCATCTTGGATTCTCCAATGCATTTCCTGCTGATCTGGCGGTAGAATTCCGGTGGTGTCCGCCCAGGTTTCCTCTTGCGCAGGCGCTAGGCACCCGCGTATGACGTCCTCTTGGATTCCCCACCCTATATCTTGTTGTATTGGTGGTATACTGGCTATCCCAGCAGCGCCATCATTATGGACCTTATGTCCAATATTTTGTCTCCAATATCCCCATTCTAGAGTTATAGGCATATGTTCCCCAACCTGAGCAGTGCCTTGTTGGTGTTCTGTTGAGGTGAGATCGCAAGTATGGGAAGTTGGCGCATGATTATAGAGCCTTCCTGTTTGCGACATGGTCATTGCTGCTGGATCCACCGCTGGCGATTCCGGGGCTAAAATGGAATCAGCAATTTGACATCTGAGACTTAGGATAAGGGTGTAAGTTACTTACAGAGATTCCTCGCGATTTGGTCCGTTGCAAAATATTGCATACGGTTTGGCTCCTCTGACAGATGGTTTGATATGGTTGGATCACTACTACCTGGAGACGTCGAAAGGCCTGAATTCGCAGTACCATTGCCGGAGGAGCAACTAGGGGAAGGATGACCGGACACCAAGTTCTCAATGTTTATTTCCGAGGTATAGAAAGGCTCGTGGCCCCGATTATCGTCATCAACTTCTGGCAGCTTGTGGGATATATTAAAGCAATCAGCAAAGTGCTCGAACCAATCCGAATATCGTTTTGACTCGCAACATTCGATTCCTTTTCAATATGCCCGGCAGCCTCTAGTATCATTTGCAGCCCAGATGTCTCATCAGTATTTGATCCAAGCTTGGTGCCGCTGCAGATGCCGCTCATCTTATGTTTATCCGATGTTGCCACGCCATTATCTTGAACTTTGGGTATAGTTCCAGCGGATGAACTGCACCTTCTTTTCTTGGTACCTAAGCCGGCTTTATCGCTTGAATTTATTGACCAAGGCCTTTTCTTCTTGGTCTGTAGGTTCCTGGGTTGAGTTTCAATGAAAATGCAGCGACTATTTCGGAGTCCTAGATTAAAATGTCAGCAATGTGCTAGAACAGTAAAACTGTTAGGGGGGGGGGTCAGATCACCCATGGTCAGGTCACCTACGTTCAGATAATCGTCGTAACCAATAGCGGCATCCACCCTCTTTCAAGCGCTTCGAGATTTGGGTGATCTCGACCTTTCGCTTCGCTCAAGCGAAAGGTTGGCTAGGACGATTAGTGCTTCACTTCAGCCTTGTTCATTTTAGTCAAGCTCACTTTAGGAACCTTTATAGCGTTTTTATTGTTGTGACGTATCGTTCATTAACTCCATAGATGAGAAGATAAAATGTCCGACATTGACGACCAGTTAAGCACGCTGTGCGAAGTGTGCCTGAAGGTTTTCAGCCTCAACCCAGACAACGATACCGAATACTCTCATCACCCAAATCTCGAAGCGCTTCGGCAAGCGAAAGAGGGTGGATGCTCGCTATGCAACGTTATTTGGGATAGTATTCAGGATCATCATGAGGGTGAAATAGTTTGGCGCAGGAGAAAGATCTTCGACCAACCTCCGGTAATGTTGCAGTTCTATAGCAAAAACCACGAGAAGGAGGAGGACTGGAGAGTAGACCTTGGGATAGGACCGCTTAAAGAATGTAGCTATGAAACTGTTCATACTAAAAATTGTACTGATTGTGTCAAGATGACAATTCCGATGGCGACGAGCCATGCAGCAGAAAGCATACTCCAGGAACAAAGACTGATTCGCCAGAAACATGGCGTCTCATTAATCATTGGTTACACGACTGCATCAGCAATCATACCGGATGCACCATGTCTAAAAGAGATTCAAACAGTAGTCGTAACAACTTACCTGACCGAATCATTGACGTTGGAAAGCCCGGTGACGCTACTGTACGGCTGCGTTGTGCCGTCGATATGAATCCCGAGGAGCGTACTTCCCGCTATCTCACACTCAGCCATCGATGGCCGAAGGGTCAGTTGATCAGCCTCACGGACAAAACCTTGGCTTCCTTCAAACGTGGAATACCTATTTCTGATCTGCCAAAGACCTTTCAGGATGCAGCCCAAGCAACTCGACAGCTGAAAGAAAGGTTCCTGTGGATCGACTCCCTTTGCATCATGCAAGACTCAGTGTCGGACTGGAGAGAGCAAGCCGCAAAGATGGGGAGCATCTATATGTATGGTCTATGTAACTTGGCAGCAACTGCAGCCTCTGACTCGACCGGCGGTTTATTCTTCGACCGCAATGTGGCGGCTATCCATCATCTACGAGTTCGCTGTAACTGGACGTTTCTAGGTCCAATCGGACGGTATCCACATACTTCTGGTGGACTTTTTCGTGTCGATGACTTCCTTTTGCTGAATAAAATGGTTGAACATACAGAACTCAACACTAGAGCCTGGGTGTTTCAGGAGCGACTACTCTCCCCACGAATCGTTCACTTTGCACAGAATCAGTTGGTATGGGAGTGTAGGAATGGTCGAGCCTGCGAAATGTATCCAGATGGCGCTCCTAATGGACCCGGAAGCATAGCTAAATGGTCGCATTTTTGGCCTATAAAAACCTTTGCTCAGGAGCTTACGACTAAGGGCGCAAAGACCCATCGCGACTGGAGACTTATCGTGCAACGATATTCCGGGTTGGATCTAACTAAGAGGAAGGATGTACTCGTTGCTCTCTCTGGTCTTGCAAAACTTATGCAAAACGCCATGGGTGATGAGTATCTTGCTGGATTGTGGGAGACAACAATAGCACACGACTTACTTTGGGAGCGCACAGGCCGTATTGCGCACAGGCAAGGTGATGCAACGGATATTGGAAAGTCATTTGCACCTACATGGAGCTGGGCATTCCTAGATTATCAGGTGGCTTGGGATAATTTTCAAGAATGGGCCACAGAGATTCACATGACACTACTTCGATCCGATTTTCTTCCCATTCCTGCCCAAACCTTCATCCAAGAGCCCACCCCAAGGAATGGGCGGGATCCATTAACTGGGATATTTCGAAATGGTTCGGCCGCCTCTAACCACGGAGGAGGCGAAAGTAACAGCGGTATAGGTGCAGCAAGCGACTCGACTCGGAAACTTTATCTCAAGGGAAGAATTTTCAAGGTCCCATGCAGTAAAAACAAACGATATGTTCCAATGCCTAGCACGAATCCCGAAAACAAAGTTATAGAAGTTGTCATATCTGGCCATACTTATCCTGCGTGGGTCATTTATGACAATCCTCAAGAACAAGATGTATTCTTTATCTACCGAGACACCTTTCCCGCCTCGTATGGGGAATTTCAGTTCATGCCTGTGGCATACTGCCCGATCGAAGCATACGGCTACCGCTGGTATGGCCTTATTCTCAAAGCTGGAGAAGATCTGCCAGACCATTACCGGAGAACTGGACGGCTAGAAATTTTAATGTCACCAGATCAGTTGGCTGAGGCGTTACGAAGCGGGGACCGTGGCGGCCAGCTTGAGTCGTTTGACTCAGATTTGCAGTGGCTTATCACTCTTCAAGGTGTGAAGGCTTTTGATAATCTAGATATGGCAAGACACGGCTATGAGTGTGAGATAACTCTGGTTTAGTAAATTTTTAACAGATTTTAATCAGAATAACTATTCTTATGTTTAAAAGCACGTTTCGAGTGAACTTGCTCTGGATTTCTGCGAGTCTTCAACCACCTTCAGCTCACTGCATTTCCACAGCAATCCTTCCATAAAAAATGAAGCACTAAAAAGAACAAACCGAAGCACGAGATTCAAAACCTGGCAAGGGACCAGACATGTGCTTCCACAGGTACGAAGTTCTGTGAAAGCAGAGATAGTTAGCTCTGAGGTATGAGCGCGAGGGGAGCATTCAGGAGCTATTGCTTACCTCGGGGAGCGATTCAAAGCTGGCACCCACGAACGGGGGAAATTTGCGACAGCGCAAAATTCAGTGGAAGAATTCAATAGATGAGAAGTTCTTCCACCCGCGATATAGTTCCAGATGGGGGGGGGGGGACTTTCGGCGGCGAGGCAGGGTGGGGGGACAATTCCTTGGCTGAGGAGACGGCCTGGAGAATAACTAGGTTTTTAGAAATGGTGAAGGTGTGGACACTTAGAAGCAACAGCTCATTGAATTCCAGGAGCTCCAGGGACAGTATCTTCAACGGCAATTCCTTTCAACTTTGGCTCAATATCTAGCCTGTGATTTCGAGAGAGCAGGTCAAAGATATGAGCGCCCAAGTCGTGGGCAAGTCAAAGCAGAGTTCCGTGACGGTGCACTCATGTCTTGAGGGTGCTACTCGAGGCTTTGAAATGCACGCTCGAGGATATCCACGCTGATTTTGAAGTCAGCGCTGAGTTTGTGTCGATATCGTCAAGTCCTTCTTCTTGGCGCGTCCGCCGTACTTCTCTTTCGCTTCCAGACTTTGCGTGGCCTATGAAAATGATTAGTTTAAATCAAATACTCCATCTTTCTTTAACTTACTTCTTCTTTCGTACGCGTCTTGTTGGCATGGAGTGAGGTTGACGCTAGAGTGGAAATATGAGAAGTGGCTATTGAGGAAGGACCGAGATATTGCGACCGCGCGCAAATCGTGCGGTGTGTTTGGTGACCGGACCTTCGGGCTTTTGCGCAACGGGTAGGAAAACTCGACAGTAGACTACAGTATATAGAATAATGAATTGAATTGATTACTCCACTATCTACTGGGCCTACGTACTGTATTTGTAGGGCATCGGGGGAAGCCCGAATACTCTCCAGAATAGGGGTTCGGGTATTGGGTTCGGGTGTGGCTGTGAATCACCTCGAGTCATGCGACATTCAATGATAGGTGCGCGTTTTCCAAATCGTCGCCCACATTACCACTCGGCCACATCAACAGCTTCACTTCAGGTCAAAGTTCCACATCCGTAAGTCATTCATTTATTGTCTATTTCTTATTTCACTTATATCTGTTCATCTTGCGCCCGAGGGCCGTCATACCCAGCAATTTTCGTTCTGTTTGGCTTCTAGTCCCGTATTTTCGTCGATTGAGCAAAGATGCCACGTGCATATGGGCCTAAAAAGGGCAAGAATCGTTTCACGCCTTTGAAACCACTTCTCAAGGATGCTATAATTGATGTAAGTTATTTTATATCTATCTATGCTTGTATCTCATGTTTTTCCAGCCAAGTCTCCCAAAATCCGTGACTGTTCTTAGTCAGGATGCGTCTGCTTCGGTCCAAGTCATGTCGGAAAAAAGCATATTCGAAGATGATGATCTCCAATCCAACAATGAGGACCCTAATGATACCCTCATCGAAGATACCGGGTTTGTCTCGAGATATGAACTTCGGAGCTGTGCCCAAACGATTGACAGCTCGTCCCAAAAACCAAGGACGACAAAAAAGATGCGTGCTGCTGCAGCAAAAGAAGCCAACGCCACCAACTTTGAATGTGAGGGCAGAAGATCTGCTGGAGATGTCCATCCTGGGAAGCTCGATCGGGTAATTGCGAAGGAGATTGATCACTATAAGCTTCCAAACGCCGAAGATATCGAAGGATATTGGAAGGAGCGAACAGACATGATCAACAGGGAGGCAAGATTCGTTTTCTTGTTGCATTTTTGACACGACCTTCCTGGGCTGAAGGAAGATGTCCTGGACAAAGTGCTCCCAAATGTGCCACCATATGCGAGGGCATACGAAAGCCTCCGGCAGCTCATGATGGACAAGATGAAGGGATGGCGTTCTAGGACGAAAGAACAACTCAAGGCAAGTGATAATTGAGGCAATTCGGGCTGGCATTTGCATGGACGATGGCTATATTATTGAAGCTATATAGAATATAAGATTGTTCCTGATGCCTTCTTTTCCTTTGCTTCCCTGTGTCCCGTGCTCCTTCGCCGTAATCATCTTGGTGATGCTGCCGCTAGCTGCCATATGTTCCACCGCTCCCATCGCCACAATCAAAATGATCACGGCGGCCTTTGCCCCGGCTTCCCTACTCCCAAAGCCTCTTCCCAGATTTTTGGGTAAGAAGGATCGAAAACGGTGAGTCAATTTTACTATTCTACTACGGCTTCTTTTCTATTTAACTGGTGCTTGGCGTCGACCGTTTGGGAGGAATCACCGTTGGCATGAGAAACGGGTGGTGCCACCGGAGCACGCACCAAAAACCGTGGGAACACCAGCCAATTTTGGTGACGGTCCCCGTTACCGTCGTGCTACCCCTATTAATAAGTGGAGTATTTTCGGGTCAGCCGAGCCCACCCCTGATGGTCAGCTCACCTGTGAAATAAATCACTGGACCTCGGGACACCTGTGTCCGCCCCTACTAAATTATTCATAGCGCATCGGGTCCTGCCCCCCGTACCGCGCCGCGGTCAAAACGTGGTTGGCATTTTGACGGGGAGTATTATATGAACAATGGCGGCCCCCGGCCTCTCTGTATGGCATCGCAATTGACAAAAATTGCACCACGATGCGCGTTCTTGGTTTTCTGGCACCTGTTGTGGCCGCCCTGGTCGCGTGTGTTCTCGCACAGACTGATCCGCTGGGAGTCCTTGCTCAGATCCCTACATGCACTGCAAGTTCACGCCTATATCTGTGCCTTGAATTTTGTATTTACATTCTCTGTAGCAAGAATGCGGCGTCAAAGTGCTAGTACCAGCGAATTGTCCATTTACGGACCTGGCGAACTGTCTCTGCACGAATACCACTTTACAGTCGACATTTGCTCTCTGCGTAGCTGGATCATGCGGTCTCGCCGACCAAGCCAGTATGAGCCCTTGCCCAAGCCCCGTCGTCGAGCTTCGAATCCTAACATTGACAGAATCTTCAACCCTCATGCAGACGCAGATTTGCAATGGTACCCCGAAAGAATCACGAAGCGCCGAGGTTATACGAGATGTGATCATCATCTCCGCCTTCACCTTCGTGATAATCGGACTGCGGTTCTACTCGCGGGCTCTCGTAGCGAGCCAGTTGTGGTGGGATGACTGGACCATCGCATTCGCAGGCGTGAGTTTTTCCCGCCCAGCGTCGCCTTGGTAATGTAGTACAGCCATTGACAAGCCCAAACAGATCATAATGATTCCCATGACAATCATCCCGATATTCAGTAAGACCCTCTCGTCCATACGACCCCATACCAAGACCCTAACACATCCCAGACGCCACCCGCGGCTTCGGCGAGCACTTCTGGGACGTCCCTCCCCAAAACCTCGAGCTCCTCGAAAAGGTACTTCTCCCTCGAGCAGGCATTCCTCTTTTCACCAACACATGCTTACTTAAGGCTGGCACAGCTCTACTACATCTCCCAAATCCTCTACTCCTTCGTCCAAGTCCTCGCCAAATTCTCCATCCTCTTCCTCTTCCTGCGCGTCTTGCCGACCCAAAAATTCCGCCTCGTCGTCAAAATCTCCATCGCCTGGATGATCTGCCACACCCTCGCCTTCGGGCTCGCCGTCACCCTGCAATGCGTGCCCGTGGAGTCGGTGTGGGATCACTCGATAAAGGGGAAGTGCACGAACTCGCAGGCGTTTGTGTATGCGGCGGCGGGGTTTAGTATTTTTGAGGACTTTGTGATTATGTTGTTGCCGATTTGGGAGTTGAAGGGTTTGCGTCTAAGTACGAAGAAGAAGTTTGCGTTGATGTTTTTGTTTGCGTTGGGGTCTTTGTATGTCCATCTACCCCTCTCCTATTGTTGCGATTTTGCTAATATTGGAACCGTAGCGCCTGCATCACCAGCATGATCCGCCTCAAATACCTCGTCGCCTACGGAACCTCCATCGACGTAACATGTACGCCCCCCCCTCCCCCCCACACCAGCAAACCATCCGAGAAAACTAACCCATCAACCAGATGGCGCCGTCGATGTTGTTCTGTGGAGTGTGCTTGAAGATTATGTCGCCGTAACCTGCGCCTCCCTAATGTGTCTCCGCCCCCTCATCGTGCGCTGCTTCCCCTCCCTCTTCCTCACCAGCAACGCTGAGAGCAAGAACACCCAGAGCGACTGGGGACAAGCGCGGAACTCAAAGCTGGCGAGTAAGCTGGGCGTGGCGAGTAATAAGGGGTATGAGCTTAATAGCGACGATGGGGATGCGAAGGGGGTAGGGGGGATTAGGGTGCAGAAGGCGTGGGCGACGAAGACGAGTCATGTGGGGGACGCGGAGGACGAGTCAGAAGGGAGTTATAGGATCGAGAGGCCGAGGGGGAGTGAGAAGGCGTGGGATGTGAGGAGGAGTTGAGGGGGGAGGGACTCACGGTGTTTCATGTTTATAGATTTTCCCCATGTTTGAACGCCATTCTTACTTCATGTTCACATATATACCTCTTATTTCTAGTTAATACTATGTATATACACTCTTTTATTAACTCTGTGGATCTCCTAGTTAATGCTCATAACTCCATCCCCTCATAGAGTAAGCGTAATACGTAGCAGCAGTCAACTTCTTCACGGTTGCCAATGCCTTATTTTCAAAGCAGCTAATGACGCGCCGTAGAATGTAGAAGCCCTAGTGAAATAAGGATTGTTGGGTTACTACATATGGGAAAGGGGCCAGCTTGTCGCGGTGCATGTAGATAGAGACCAGCCCCCAACGCCTGTCTCTAAGCCGCCCCTCCATATCCCGAACATGGAGCCATATTTCCCACTCAACACCCATGGATACCCACCGGAAAAGCTTATGGGAAGATAATACATATACATAAATATTTCGATTCCCCCCGATACAGATAGACAACAGTCACACGCTGAAAAATACGTTTGGTCTAGGTCTTGATACATACCCCCCTTCTTCCCGCATATGCACACCGCACCACACGCCGTTATCAGCGTGGGCACTACCACTTTAAGCCTGTCTGCCTGCCTGACTGTATGTATATCTGTCCGCGCGCATACACACGCCCACCCTATCCATCCATCCAACCACCTCCCCGGCACCACGTATGGATCGACCAAAAAAAATAGTAACAATGTGCAGCGAAAACATACGCCCTCCCTGCCCATCCACAATGGCGGTAAAAACGGGATAACGCCTGGCACCCCTCGGGTTAAAAAATACTAATGCAACATCCACCCCACATCCCCAATCTCTTTTCCAACCTCCACTCCCACCCCCCCTAATCAATAGTCATAAACCCAAACATACCCACCACCAACCCCACAACCACCACCGTCAAGATCCCCGCCCCACCTTCCCCCCCGTCGTCGCCGGCGTCATCTTCGAGTAATCCACCACATCATTCCCCGCATTCGGATTCCCCATGCTCGTCCCCCCCGTCGCATTCGACACAATACTCCTTGCCTTCTTAATCAGCATACTCTGAATCACCTCTAGCGCCGCCATCTGCTGCCCGACACCGTGCGTCCCATCCCACGCCGCCTTCTTGCTCCAGGACAAGCCGCAGACGCGACCGGTCGGGGCGCCGGAACACTGGAGTGCTGCGGCGGCGGCGGAGGTGCGGAGGGGCTTCATGACGGTGTCGTAGATGAAGGGGGCGATCTTTGTGGAGGCGGCCATCCAGCGAGTGAGGAAGGCTTTTTGGGCGTACATGTCGACGGAGCAGGAGAGGTCGGTTTCGCAGGCAAGTTCGAAGGCGATGCCGTTGGGGAAGAATACTTCGATTGTGCGGGCGAGGAGCTTCTCGACGCGGTCTTTCCAGATGGCGCTGCCGTCGGTCTAAAGGGGGGTTAGTGTTTGGTAAACAGGCAGGGATTTGGTGGGGGGGAGAATGGAGATGGGAGACGAACGTAGTTGTACATGGTGGCGGCGCCGTGGAGGAAGATGCCTGCGTTGTAGGAGAAAGGCACTCTGTTAATCTCGGTACAGTTATCCTTCTGATCTCCACCATCATAGATGTTATAGTCCTTGTCGAGGAATCCCACGCTGCTCATCCACTCCCAAGTCTCGGTCGCGTACTTGGCATACGTCGCGTTGTTGGTGTAAAGCGCAAGGCGCGCGCCAATGTTGAAGAAGCAGCCGTTGGAGATGGAGTTCTTGTAGCTGTACCCGTTGAGGTAGCTGTAGGCTTGCCAGTGCAGACCGCCGCCGCAGGTTTTCGGGTCGAGACGCTCGGCCTGCGTGTGGAAGACGGCTTGGGCGAGGGCGAGCCATTGCGGCTCGTCCGCGGCAGGGTTCTCAAAGTTGAACTCAGCGGCTGTCATGGCGGACATGCCCCAGAATCCTGTGGTGGGATTGTTAGCTCTGTGGTCGCAATGATTGTTAGGTGGGTGGAGTGGGATGTACCTTGATCATCGTTACCCATACCAAGGGACTGGTTCTGGGGGAGGTAGTCGAAGTGGTCACCGGACTGGTGAATCAACGCCTGCTTGATCACAGCGTTGTATGAGTCGTCGCCGGTGTAGTACCAGTAATCGAGGAGGGAGCCGAACATGGCGCCGGCCTCCCACCAGAAGTAACCCGCGTTGAGGACCAACGGCGTCGGGGGTGGCCCGGGAAGCAATCCCGGCGTCTGTCCTGACAGATTCCCCTTGTATTCCAACATCATGTCGTAGACAATCGTCGACGCGGCATTTCTGATGGACTCTAGAAAAAGAGACACAGAGTCAGCGGGGGGAAGAGACATGCGATCAGGACGAGGGCGACGAACGATCATCATCGATGTTGAGTTCGATGGCACTGGCGACTCTGGCGCCTCCGAGGAGGAGCCATGCCGAGGAAACGAGTGTGGTGAGAAGCATAACGAGAACGAGAACGAGAACGAGAACGGCGGGGTGAGGCTCAAGCGCACCTCATCGGCGCAGGGTCGGGATTGGGGAGGTTTCTGGTCGTCGGGCAAGATGGCGGTGCGAGTGGCGGAAGCGCGGCTATGGCAGATTTGAGGTGGGTTGGCTCGAGGGTGACGAAGCGGTGTTGCTGACTGTCAGCAGCGCAACGAGCGGAAGTGTGAAGTGAGGGCCGTTTAGGCGCGGAGAGATTATATAGTGTGGACGTTGACTAGCAAAAGCAGGAGAGGTTTGATTGATGATGATGGTGGTTACTTGTGTGGACGGGAGAGGAGGATTCATATGAGGATTCATATGGGGACATGATCTGTTGAGGCTGTGACTGTGCTGTGAACAGTGGACGAAGTATCTTGTAGTAGTGGGTAGTATGGAGAGGTACATGCGGCTAGGGAAGTGAGAAGCGGGTACTCATGGCCGGGTGGGCGCAGGTGGAAAATGCTTAGCACCGAGCCGAGGACAGAAGGGGGAATTTTTATTTGTGGGTGACAACCAAATTAGAGTACAGTAGGCCACTTCAGCACCGTAATTTGAGTGTAGCAGCGTAGCAGCTTTAGCCTAGATAGGAAATGATGTAACTATAATCCTTACGCCCCCCTGTTGCCACTATCTCCTAATGTAGTCGAAGACGAAAGCGGAAACAGCGCACCAAAGACCCCCCTCACCCTCTCATAAAGATGCCATCTACGTGCGGATGTGAGTCAAATACTACATCTATTACAACAGACGCGTCAGAGTACAGATGGATGGAAAGGGATATAATAGATATACCTGTATATAGTTTATAATGATAAATACTCTTCTATTAATGGTGGAGGCACTACAAACCGTGATCCAGATGCTGATGTATGACGGAAGCATATAAAGCAATTTGATAATAGAACCACAACAGGATAGTAAACCCCAACTGGCTGATATCCTGAACGGGGCGCCTTTCTAAATGCTGTATATGTCCATAGAACCTGCACTCCTCTAAACGCCCGTTCTAACAATCCGGACCGAAGAGAGGGCTCTATTCCAAGCCTTCCTTCCATCTAAAAGTCTACCCTATGGGTGCGCCTACAGGCAAGCCATACCATAACCTGCTAGGTATGTAGGATCGCCATAGATATATAACAGATCATGGTCTTGCATAACCTAGGTGGTTATTAGTATTGTAATATGATAATAGAATACTCTTACCTCTCGTATATGCGTCATCCATGGCGCTAACTGTACTCTACCGCTCCATGGCACGTTATAGAGCTGAAAGAGTATAGTAAGTTGCCGGATCTCACTCAGCAAGAACCTATTTACATAGTTAATTAGTTATTATAAATGAAAAGGGGCAAAGAAGAGTGCTTACCATAGTAGTTGCCATGCTTAGACATCGTCCAAACCCTCAAATGAGATGCGCCGGCGTTGCTGAATATGACGGCGATGATGATACTGACGACGGCGAGCCCATATTTGGTGCTCTTCTTCTTCGTCCTCTACTATACTTGCGAGGATGACAAGAAAACCCGACAACGATATCATCCTCGTTCTCTGTCTCCGGCTTCGGCCTCGGGCTTGGCTCTGGCTTCCTAGCATTATAATTATCACTTTTATAGGTGGAATCACAGGCGGATCACCATATCTACCTATATACGACGACATCTCCGGCTTCAAATTATCGTATATTACGCTATATACGGCAGCTAACTACTCTAGGCTAAAGCTACACCACATCGCAGCTGCTACGCTCGCGAGTGTAGCAGCTGCTGAAGTGGCCTAGTACAGACAGTTAAACCCCCCCCTCAACCTCTTTCCCCCCCACCACCAACCTCCCCTCCGGCGCCCCCTCCCTCTTCTCCTTCGACATCACCATCTCAAACTCCACCCTCCCCCCCTTCTCACTCCCCTCTTTCTTCGCAACTTGATCCCCCTTTTCAAACCCACACCCCCCAATATACCCCCTCCCAAACGTCCTGGCACCCCCAGGCGCAACAACCCTCAACAAATAAGCCTGCGGAAACCTCCTCGCGAACAACCCCATCGTCTCTCTCAAATACAACTTCAGCATCTCCTCCCCCCCAACCCGGCGGGAATCTTCTCCTTACGGACGCGCTTCCACGCATGATCCCGCACCATCTTGTACCCACCCTCCAGCACAGACGCAGGGACGGACGAGATGTCCGCTACGGCTTCCCTGGTTCGGGGGCCAGAGCTGCGGTGGTGGGAGGTGGTGGTGGAGAGGCTGTGGTGGAGGTAGCTTAGGTAGGCGATTGGGGTCGCGATGGCGATGGCGGAGACGAGGAGTTTGGGGTGCGCGGTTAGGCGCGAGGTGAGGGGTTTGAGGATGTCCATTTTGCTGATTTTGCTGGGTGCTTGCTTAGGGTGCTGCCCGTCTGTTGGGAGGTAGGCCGGGATCTGGGATAGAAACAGCCACAGTTTCGACTGAGGTTTCAGCATTGAAGCCAGCAGAATAGGGGGCTTTTGGGGGTCAAAGCAGAACCCCTGGTAGGGCCTACAAATAGCCACGTAGGCCCATTAGATAGTGTAGCAATCAAATTGGTTCTATTTTACTATTGTAAGCTATATACTGTGTGAGAACTCCTGCCCCGTTGCGCCCGTGAGAAGTCCTGGTCACCGGAGAACCCATACAATTTATGTGTGTGGTCTCTGTAATCCAGTACTTCCCTCCAACACCGTCCCAAGGCGTAAATCGTCACGTGGTAGCGGTGGTCCTTTGGTCGTGCCTGTGTGGTTTGCTCTTCTTGTACGTGTTTTGTACAGCGCTGGAAAACGTAAAGGCGAGATGGCGAGGCGCTCACGGAACGAAATGTCGTCGAGATAAACGCGCGAATCTCATCCCGATTTTCTTTGCCTAAGCACGTGATACCCCTTGGCACAGGGGTATCACGTGCTTCGGTATTAACCACGTGATGTACACCGCAACCAGCGATGGTTAAGACGCTCTCCATCCCGTATGCAAACGGGCGCTGACGGCGTCCAACATGCTAAGCTCCGAAGCCGTACCATAAATGACGATGGGCGCGAGATATAGCACTACCATAAAAAGGACTCTCGGCGACAATCGGGGGTTATGAGCCTTTTTTTTAGGTTATGGTAACTAACGTCCATGGTCACGCCCCCTTCGGTGGAACGGCCCCACCCCCTCATAGCTAACATCTCCGGCCGAGGAGCGGGATGGGCTGGGCTAGAATGAGCGATGAGCGCTTAGCGCTTGCTTGCTTTGCTTTGTTTTAGCTATGGCTGGGTTTTAACCAGGGGAGAGGTTTCACTTTTGAGTATTGTATTAGTCAAGTCGGAGGGAGATGAGTGGGAGTATTTGTTTGTGTTGTAGGGTATGAGGGCAGTTATAGTTCTCATATACTTGAGTATCCAGCGCGCGTGAATGAGAAGGAAGAAGGAGAGCTTCACGCATGCACACATATCAGTCGCATCACCCCTCTCCTACCACCCTCCCCCGACCGATCCTCGGTACACCGGCCCCTTACCACCATCCAATCCCCACCCCTCCCTTCAAATCCCCGCAAGGCGAATCTGGTGTCTTGTCTTTGTCTTTGTCTTGCTTTGACGCTGGATGGAGGGGAGAGTTGATGAAGAGGATGAGGTAAGTCCGCGGAGATGGCAGCGTGAGAGTGAATCGAGCATATTCTGGCCTTTGGATATATTACCATCCCTCCGCGCGAGTAAGTCGTCTCATCATGTCATGTCCGCGTCTCCCTCTCCTAACCTCAAACCTCGCCGCCTGGAAACAAACATCCCCAGTCCATCCCACAGACTTGATATCAGACCTCACTCACTATAGCGCCTTCGCAGCGCCACCAATATGACCAGTCCCTCCTCCACAGCGTCGAGTCCTATACCGGGGGACGCATATTTCGCGGACCTGTACCCCCTTGCCTCGCCTGTTCACTCGCGCTCGCCGTCGCCGATCTGTTCACCTCCCTCTGCTCCTCGTCCTCCTCCTGCTGCATCTGGGAAATTGAATCATGATCAGCATAACCCCAACCAGCCGCTTCACAACACGCACAGCCAGAGCCACACGCACACCCACAGACCACCACCCTACCGCCCGCGCCTAGACTTCGCGTCACCGAAATGGGGGGCGTACAGACCGAGTCTGTCCTTCTTGCCCTCTGGGGGCACGAGTCCCGCCAGTGTGAGCGCGAGTACAAGTACGAGCCCTTTGACGCCGGAGAGCCCTGTTGGAGGGAGCGGAGGCGAGGGGGAGAAATACACGCTGTTGAAGGAGGAGGAGAGGGGTTTTGGGGGGGAGAGGGTTAGTGCGCAGGTTCGTCGTTTTTTCGTTTGCTGTTGAAGGAGGAGGAGAGGGATTTTGGGGGGGAGAGGGTTAGTGCGCAGGTTCGTCGTTTTTTCGTTTGCTGTTGAAGGAGGAGGAGAGGGATTTTGGGGGGGAGAGGGTTAGTGCGCAGGTTCGTTTTTTCGTTTGCTTAATACTACCCCTTTGGAGATGGGAGTGATGGATGGGATAGGGGCTAATCGTTGTAGAAAATGAAGAGACGAGCACAGAATCGCGCCGCGCAGCGGGCGTTTAGGGCGAGGCAGACGGAGAGAGTGGCGGAGCTGGAGAGGGAAGTGGAGGGGTTGAGGAGGGAGTTGGAGGTTTTGAGGGGGGGGTTAGGGGGAAGGGGGTAAAGGGGGGGTTGGTGGGTGAGTGTGCGGTGATGGAGTCGTGATATGGGATGGGGATGGGGTGGGATGGGGTGGGATGGGGTGGGTGGGACTTGTATGATATGTATATTGTAATAAAACAACGCAGCTAGAATTCTTGGGCTGCATGTCCTGATGGAGATGATAATCTAGTTAGTTGGTTGTTGATGCAATACGCAGAACAGGAGAGATCGTAGAGCCGGGACGAGCGGCGTAGCCCCCCCCCCTTTTCACTGCGCAGCCGGCGGGATCACCGCAGCCCCCTTAACCCACCCCCCACTCCACACCCACTCACTAACTCCACTAACCTGCGTCCCATTCTGAAAGTAAACCCTCAACTGCTTCCCCTCCGTCGCCCAGACAATCACCGCCGTCTGCGTCGCCGGGATAGTTTTCTGCACAAACCCACCAGCGTACCACCCCCATCGTACGCGCGCTCCACTAGCGTGTTATCCGCCGCAGCATGGTAGACGCGCAGGGAAATCTTAAAGGAGGCGGAGGGGATGCTGAAGGCGCCGGTGTACCAGCCTTTAGGGGAGCCTTAGGCGTGTTTGGCGAGGGAGAGGGAGGGGGTTTGGGATGTATGTGCTAGAGGGGTTGTTAGTTGGTGGTTGGGTCGCGCACATGCCATCTCCACGGAAAACTTCGCGATATTGGCTTTGAGCTCCATCATCGTGTCATTTTGCACCATCTACCCCTCAGCTATGCAGTTGGCCACCGCCTACGAGAATGATTCCGCATCAACCGGCACTTCATTCGTTGCATCTCTGCTGTGTAGGCGGTCTGGCATCCTGTGCCACCACACATGGATGCGGGTATTCGCCATCGATGCTATAAATTCATAAGAGAATCCCTTGCATATGCTCCTGTTTGAATCAGTGAGAGGGAGAAACTGTTCGTGTCTGCCAATATATACACTTCCACCATTATCGTTGGTAGAACGCTAATATATAATAGCCAATTGGGGATGCGAGTCAGTGCTGTGCATCGCAGCGGCAGCATCCGCTGCGGGTGCTGTCGTGCATGGGCGCTCCAGGTCGAAAAGAGTATACCGGGAGGTTATCAGCTTCGACTAGACAGCTGAGAAGCAAAGCCATATAAGGGTTGATAGGTAGATGGTCGTGATATTTCTCAACCAGATAGTAGACGGGGCGTTTGCTCTCCAATAGCCGCAAGCATACTCCTGCAGCCCAAAGGTCTTGGAGGGGATTAGGCTGCGCACTACTCGCTCAATACTCGGCTCACTCGCTCAGTGGGTTACTCAGCTGGGTGAGTAGCTGAACCTTTTACTCGACTCGGTGAGTGAGGTCAATACTCAGTTACTCTGTAAAAACCCGGTGAGTACTCGGCTATCACGTGTAAGATTTATGCATCATGTGAACAGTCCCTCATACGATTAATACTGTTTTATGGTTAAGTTAAAGTATTACATCTATTAGCATCACTCTCGCCATCTCTAGTAAGCTGTGAGAACGAATCATGTATATTCCTCTATCTAAGTACCATGATTATCAGAAGATTATTAGAACGCTATTATCTATTATATATGCTTAAGAACATCCCTCCACCTTGCTTGATGAGGCCGGCCAGACCTACTAATACCTAAAGTATTTATAGGGTCTTGATGAGGATCCTCGACTGAGCGGAACGAGCTATGAGTCAAGATAACTGTGTATAGAACTTGTTCATAAAATGTCTCTTGTGTGAGAATATGATCTTATTATAGGTATTAACCTACATAATTCTGGTAATAATCTGGTAATCCTTACTTGTTGAGGTTGCATTTGATTGATTCGCATTTGATAGAGACTATCCTTCCCATCTGTGACTTCTTTTTGCAAATGTCTGATGCAAGATGTGTTGCCATAGACTTTGGGCCAGCAGACTTGATTGCAGGATGCGTAAGGGCCTTCGAACAATAAGTACAAATAACACATGGTTCTCCAGAAAGCCGGTCTGCTCCTTGGTGATAACTTCTCCAGTATTGAGAACTCCAGTTGGTTGAATCCCATGCAATCTTCATAAGGAGTTTTGTAGTATGATCTGAGTGTTGTTCATACCATCGTGATAGCTTCCACCACTCAATGAATATATCGTGTGTATCCTTAGTCCATTTGACGAATTGGTTTAACTTGCCAATATATTCAAGGCCTGCAGGGACTTTGTAAGGATGCCTGTCCCTCAGTGATGGAAAGGATCTGAGTCGGGCAGGTTACGGTCACATGATAAGAGTTAAGGCAGGTTAGCTGAGTCGGACCCGTTTCGGGTACTTAAGGAGATTGACCCAACGGGGGTTCCTCTCTTCATCTTTTTTGTATCCTTCGTAGTAGACCTATAGGATAGCATCCGTTTAGCCTCTGACTCGCACTCTCATATGCTATTACTGTGAGCTGGGTGCCCTGTGTCCTTACAGACTTGATTTAATGAGGATAGTCGTTGAGAAGACGGAAAAGAGTCTGAGAATACTGTCAGAATCAAACAACTCTGAGTATTGAGATGGCATTTGGCAAATTGCTCGATTATCAGAAGGTTACCAGAAGTCTGGCTACGATGAAGTACTTAAATACCTGGTTTTCCAACGCGAAAGGTACTCCAGCGCTATAACTTTAGCAACTCAAGTTCTCCTCTACTCTAGCTCCAGGAACAACATATCCTGTGCAGCTGATACCTTAGCCCACTTTTCCTTATCAAACTTCTTAGAGTAGACAAGTAAGAACGCCTCTTTGAAGCTAGAACTATGAGTGGATATTTGCAACCATCCATTGTCGACAAGATTGTAAGACTTTGGGTACCACTGCACAGGTCCTGGTAATTAGGCCCACTTTCCAAACTGCCTGCTCGTACAAACAGAAATATTTATGTGGTGGGATAACCTCGTGAAAAGTGCTATAATAAACAATTAGTATTGCCAGAAGATTGCTAGGATGATCAGAGACGTACCCTTCCTCTACATCAATCCACGGCATATACTCAAAGAGACGCTCAGGCTTCTTTCTCAGCTTTCCAGCCTTTCTCGTATATGAGTGGATACAGCTATCCCAGAAATGTTGCCACTTGCGGAAATTGGACTCTTCATGGGCCTATCAACTATTAGTATCACCAGAAGATTACCAGATTATGAGGTAGCATACATCAATGTGCGCTTGAGTTAAGAGAGCCTGGGTGCTAGTGATCTCTTCATCGGAAAGCTCATCTGGTAGAACAGCCTCGTCATTTAAAATATCTCGCGCTGTAACATAAGCTCCAACTCCAAATCGTCTTCAACCTCAGTATCCTCCCATTCGCTGTTATTATTGTCATCGATTGGAATACTTGAGATACCCTCAAATGCAGCAAGCTCAGACAGAAGTTGTTTGGGCGGAGTAGATGGTGGGGCTTGTGGAGAAGAAGAGGCGCTAATATTCTTGACTTTCTGATTCGCAATGCAAGATGCATGGGTACCCTTCTCAGTCCTGTTTATAGTTAGATTGAGGCTACCAGAGATTACCAGAAGGAACTTACCGAACACAAATACGCTCAACCTTCAATTCATTCTGTAGACGTGTCTTGTCTTCAGTAGAGGCAGCGATATACTTTGTGTAATGACACAGGGCACCCAGCTCACAGTAATAGCATATGAGAGTGCGAGTTGGAGGCTAAAAGGATGCTATCCTATAGGTCTACTACGAAGGATACAAAAAAGATGAAGGGGGAACCCCGTTAAGTTTGTTTCCTTAAGTACCCGAAACGGGCCCGACTCGGTTATCCCAACCCTAGCCCTGAACCTTCCACCGCAACAGGTCCGCATCGACCCTGAACCCTACACCCTTACTGTCCCCCACTATAGTGTAACTCGCTATGTCTTCCTCTACTGGTCCGAAACCACACCGAGTCGGATTTCATGCTTGTGGTGACCGTAACAGCTCTGAGGCGGGTTCTTCGAGTATCTAGGTAAGGAGGCATCCTTACACTTTGCAGACTTATATAACTTCTTTAAGTAGTAGCTCAGATCAGCATGGTCAGCCTTGAGTGCTAAGTGAACAGCCTTCTCATCTTCAGTAAGGTTGGAGACGCAGTTGCGAGCTTTGATAGTATTCGCATTAGTGGAGAGTTCTTCATGTGCCTTGAGTTTCGCCATACTAACTAAACACGTGATTAGCAGAGATCTCCAGAAGTTCTGGCTATAGAATCAAGATAATAAACTTAGTTGAAGTCCTAGTGAAGAGGTAAAGGCTCAAAAGGGAAGAAGAATGTGTAGATCGGAGAGTAACCAAGGAAGGTGGTTCTAAGGTCGTGGTTATTTTAAAGTTGCAAACAAAAATATTTGTGAAGGAATATTCACCTACAAAGAATTACTGTTCCAAAAACAACACCACAATGCGCACCTTCATATAAAACACATACCTTTCAACCTCTACCTCTTTACTATACTCTTCTTCTGCAATATTCTTTCTACAAACTCACTGTAAGTACACATATCTTTTGATCTACTTCTTTATCTTGTGTTTACTTTACTAACTCACCTTGATATTAGCAAATGACTCGTACCAAGCAAACTGCTAGGAGATCAACTGGCGGCATAGCACCAAGGATGCCACTTGGATTACGGGCTGGCTCTGGGCTTGGCGGAAAGGGACAGGAAAAGGCTGTGGGCACAGCAAGAAAAGCTCCAGTTTGCTCATCTCAAGCTAGCAACAATCATGCTCAGAAGGCCACGCGCTGCACAAAGTCTAGTAAGAGGATTACCAGAGGATTACCAGAGGATTACCAGAACTCTCTAATAAACATATAGGCACCAAGGCTCTCCGCGATATCAGAAGACAGCAACTTGATACTAGCTCCCATTCCAGCGTCTTGTTAGGGAAATCACAGAAGACTTCAAGTCCAATCTTCGCTTCCAGCAATCTGCTATCCTAGCTCTTTAGGAAGCTGCTGAATGCTTCCTCATTCGAGAATTTGAGAGTATGATGTTTAAACATAGTGACAGGGACATACTAACAGTTATAGTGACAAACCTCCTCGCTATTCATGCGAAGAGAGTGACAATTCAGGCAAAGGGTATGATATTGGTTCGGCGTTTGCAGGATATGATGTTTAAGCTGTGGGCTTAATCGATGGAAATGTCTCTCACCCAGGAATGAAGGTCAGATGAGTTCTGGCAACCATCTGGTAACCTGGTACCTAAAGGCCAAAGGTTATAGTGTGGAATAGGACATCAACAATATGGGAATGGAGTTGGAGTTATGGCGTCTTGATCAATGAAGTCGCACCCCGTTTTTAACATAAGTAATGGCTAATCAAACACGTGATATAACTGAGTTGCCAAGACCCATACTAGGTACTCAGCAAGTGAGTAATCCTCATTCAACAATACTCGGGACATGAGCGAGTAACTCAGCTGGGTGAGTAAAAATTCTACTACTCGACTCGTGAGTACCCAGTGCGCATCCCCTCAGGGGATGCGCTAAAAGCCAGTCAAATTGTGTATTTTCTTACAATTGCTAATATCCCGCTCATCTGGTCCTACGAGTACCAAGCTATAGTTCTGAGATGTCCTGTACCAACAATCAAAGAGACAGTGTAGAGAATAGCCAGCCGTGACAAGCCGCACTCATTTTGATTGGTGCAACGCTGTAACCTCCCTGTCCAGCCGCTCAGATATTAACGACCCAATGGGAACTTAAACTCGAAAGGAGCAGCCATTTGGGGTAGATGTTCGGCAAAAGACGTGAGAAGGTTGCACATATTGATGGTCCACCACCTTCTAGATAAATTCCAGCACCATTTCTGTTATGGTTTCGCCCTGCTATACATTCAATTTTTGCTGCCATCAGTTTTTTATAAGACCTTAACGTCTTGTGGAAGGCTTTGCCTCTGATGAATAATGATTTGATCCCCACGAGGCTGTCAGGGAAGGGAGACTCAGCCAGACAACGTTCGAGGGAATCGATGTCGACAATAACATTCTCAAAAGCCAAATGATGCGCAGCTCTGTACCTGAACTATGATTTTAGACTAGTTTCACTCTGAGGATATGGGAGTCGAACCAAGCCTTGCACAAAAGCAGTCTTTCTGTCTGGTCTCGGAGATATTCCCCCCCAACAAAAGTAGCTATGGCCGAGAGTATTTCAGGTGGGAGGTCTGTGAGGGATAACATGCTGTAAATATCCGGTCTTGCAAAACCCGTGAGAAACATTCTTAGACAGCTGAGTCAACAGGATTATGCGAGGCTGAAGTACCTTGACATGGCGGGATAGGATCCGATTAGATTAGATCAGACGACATCCAGACGAGAACAACGACGCATCATAAATAAAGCCTAATACGTCAAGGAAAGAAAGAAATATAGCATATGTATGCTTCACGACTATATCTTAACACTTTACTTTGCTTAGTACCGTTATTCCACCCATTTGTTTGAAATCACACTGCCTTGCAAAAACACTTTACACGGGCGCGTTACCATCAAACGTGTCCCGCTCCTAGCGAGGTAGATCAGGCGGAGATGTTCACTGTTCGTGAATTTCTAGCCCAAGCAAATACTCGAGAAAATTTGCGGCTTTCACAATGCTGGCAGAGTCTGCCTAATACTGTTTGGCTAGCAGGCGGTTAAATTTCAATGTCGTATATCTAGAGACTAGTCTCCAGAGCTGCGTGTGATGTCATCTTCACAGCCATTTGAGCAATCATCTCCTACCGCTGGCGGCGATGCGACCAAGCAATCACAATTCACATATAGACAGCTTGCCCATCTTGCCCTCTCTTCGGTAACATGCCCGCTTCGAGTCATTGCCCATATTGATCTCGATGCCTTCTACGCTCAATGCGAAATGGTGCGATTAGGCGTGCCAGAGGACAAGCCTCTTGCTGTGCAGCAGTGGTGGGTTATCCATCCTTTAAATCCTTATGAAAGTATTATTATGCTGATAATCGCTCTTGATTCCCAGGCAATCCCTCATCGCCGTCAATTACCCAGCCCGTAAGTTCGGCATATCAAGGATGATCACGGCCAAGGAGGCAAGAAAGCTATGCCCAGATGCCATCCTACAGCATGTGGCAACGTGGAAAGAAGGCGATGTGAAATGGGCATACCACAAAGATGCATCTGCGAACATGGCCACGCACAAAGTCTCTCTTGATCCATATCGGCTGGAGTCTCGGAAGATTCTGGCTTGCATGAAAGAATGCCTTCCGCCAGACTTGCAAAGGGTTGAGAAGGCAGGTATAGATGAAGTCTTTCTGGATTTATCTGCACAGGTTCATACCATCCTTCTGGACCGTTATCCCGAACTTTCGTCGCCACCTAAGGATCTATCCGAGTTTCTGCCGCTGCCCCCAACCACTGTATTGGATTGGCAAGCAGACGCCTTGGTCGACCTCGACGCTAGCGAAACAGAAGATGATGATCCGGATTGGGATGACGTGGCTATCCTTCTCGGCTCGGAAATAGTCCGAGACGTTCGGGCTGCTGTCAGCGAGCAACTGAAATACACGTGTTCTGGCGGAATTGCGCACAACAAGATGCTATCCAAGCTTGGTTCGGCGCATCGCAAACCGAACCAACAGACGGTAATCAGGAACCGAGCTATACAACAATTTCTTTCCGACTTCAAGTTCACCAAAATCAGAAATTTAGGGGGGAAATTGGGTACCCAGATTGTTGACACCTTCGAGACAGATACAGTTTCGGGGCTACTTGAGGTACCAGTTGAACGGTTGAAGCAGAAGCTGGGCGATGAGACTGGCAGTTGGGTCTATCAGACCATCAGAGGGATTGATCAAAGTGAGGTTAATTCACGGACACAAATCAAATCAATGCTCTCAGCCAAGTCATTCCAGCCGAGTATTAACAGTCGAGAACAGGCCTCTCGGTGGTTAAGGATATTTGTCGGTGATATCTACGCGCGGCTAGTCGAAGAGGGCGTCTTGGAAAACAAGCGCAGGCCAAAGACTATAAACCTCCACTTCCGGCACGGAGGTCAGACAAAATCTCGTCAGATGCCAATTCCATTGGGGAAAACCATTGATGAGACGATATTGTTTGACCTGGCGAGCAAGCTCCTTGGTCAGATCATCCTCGAAGGGAACGTGTGGCCCTGTGCGAATCTGAGTCTTAGTGTTGCCGGGTTCGAAGACGGCATTACAGGAAATATGGGCATTGGAGGGTTTTTGCTGAAAGGCGACGAGGCAAAGGCTGCTCGAGAAAATTATTATAGGTCGGATAATGGGGCATCAGACAGGCCAGAGAAGAGGCAGAAGACAGAACATGGCGTGAGGAGTATCCAAGGGTTCTTCTCTAAGCAGCCTGGTACTGACGAGTCGGATAAGCATTGGGAAGGCGGGGACTGGCCATTCGATGAAGAGGACAATATCACAGCAACACGCCGAATCCACGCACCCCAGTCCGGATTGAAGAACGCATCAATAACATCATATTTCTGCAAGCAGTGCAACGAATCGTTTGAATCCAACGATTCATTTCAAAGCCATAATGATTGGCACTATGCGAAAGACTTGCAAGATGAAGACCGAAGACTGTCGCGTACCCCTCAACCTCGACCGAAGCCCGGTCCAGGGGAAAATAATAATAAAGGGAGCAAAAAGGACGCTGGCAAATCAGAAAAGGGACAGCGCAAGCTTAGTTTCGGTTGATTTTCATGGCAAATACTCAACTTATTCCCCGCACAGCCACCAGCCGTGCAGTCCCTACCTTGAATACCAAAATTTGAACGGGAGGCTGAAACAAGCCTCGTCGAGAAGAACCTTTCGAAGTCAACGTCATGGCTGCCCCACGTGTGTGAAGGAACATGCGCGGAGGATAACGACTGATATCCTCGCACTTCTCCTGACCGTGAGGCGGGCTTGTTTTCACCGCCGTCGCCGATATCATGCTTCCCACGGCAGAGGCCCCTTCCCATAACAGCCTCGTGTTTTTTTACAACAGACGGACCCTGCCACCAAAATCTGGTTCGGTACGGTCCGTTGACGAATACAGGTAACCAATCAGCATGTCTTGCTTTTAGCTACCTGACCCAGATCGGTCTCGAATTCACGTGATTGTTAGATCTGATATGCCACGTCGCGACCTCCAATGAATGTATCGCGAGGCAACCTGTCCGCCAACAAGCAAATCCACCACAAAACCCAATGAAAGATTTGTCAGGACAAATCATAACAATCAGATGACTGCGAAGAACAAAGTGGGTTGGGTGGTTGGACTATCGCTGGTTGTATGTACAGCTTGTACACGGAAGTACCCATTGGCGCACCACCGGCGTAGATACCCGACAAGGCAGCTATGCTTTTTTGGTCGCGTTGGTGCCCGATGGGCCCAAGCTGTGGCGACGGCACGCACTGGAGGTAACTGGTGGCGCTGGGATACGCTGACAGGATGGTTTTCCTAGCTGCTGTGCTTCTGTATCAATCTCGGCGAGTTATGCGCTGCGTAGTTGTCCTTGCATGCCAACCAGGTTGTTGGAATGGTCGTGGGGTGCTGGATTGTGGATAATATCGCAGCACGGCAGCGCCCAACGCGTCGTGTAATGCCGCAATATCTTCAGGCAGAACGCGCTCTTGAAGAGACGGAGCAGGGCAGGTGAGCTCTCCCTGCTACCGGTGAGCATCTGAAGCTTGCCCTTGTCTCGTCTACCATCTACCGAAGGGCGGCTCTCGGGCTGTCGGTTGCATCGATGGGTCTAGAGCGGTTCTCGTTGAAGTTGAAGTTGAAGTTGAAGTTGAAGTTGAAGTTGAAGTTGAAGTCGAAGTTGAAGTCGAAGTTGAAGTTGGAGGGAACGGGCGTGGGGTGAACCCTTGGGCATCAGAGGGGGTCCTGGCAGACGTCCCGGTGCGGTGCGCCCCATCGTCATCGTCATCATCGACATTGCCCATGCCAGTCGTTCCTCGCCATGTAACGAGCCACAGAGCGTATAAGGCGGCATTGTCTGTCGTTGGAGGTGGAAGAGCAGGTAAGATAGCAAATCATTGTACAACTTTATTGTACAACTTTATTGTAGAACTTTATTAGAGAACTTTATTGTAGAGCTTTACTGAGTAACTGGACGAGATATGTACTCGACCGTACCACTCATAGACAACACCTGAAACCAACCACCGCTTAGCACGCGTTACCCAGAGAGACCCACAACCAACACACCCAACCCAACCCTTCCCATCTTCCCGCCCACCACCTTCCATCCCTCCTCCTTCTCTCTTCCTCATCGCTCTTTCCAGGAGAAAACCCCCCCCCCCCCCCCAACAAACATCTATACCAAACCATCCCTCCCTCGGGTTTCGATCTTTCTGCATCGTGGCCAGCGCATAGCACTGTGTTTTTGTCATTGTCGCAGTTTATCGCCGCGGGATTTGGAGATATACTAGGCATCCGCCCTCCCCTCTCCCAGACAGTTTCTTCTTCTATCCCACCGTCTATCCCACCGTTGAAAAAAAGCTTCCCACCAGGTTACTTGTGATCCCACATATCCACAGTCAGAGGAGCAGACTTCCATACCAAAAGGACCAAATACAAACCCAGGATCCAGTCCACTTGAGTCTCTTCACACGGGATTCGACACATCAAGCCTTTCCCCGCTTGTGTCGGTCGCTGTACTATTCCATCTCCCTGGACTGCCTGGATCTCCCTGTTTGAACTCCATTTTCCCACACCCGTTGGACTGGAAAAGGAAAAGGAAGGAACCGCTCACTCGGCTTTTTTACCACGGATTCCCCCAGGCTGATACATTCCCCACAAACTTCCTGGATCAAAGTGCTCATACACCTGGACTTCATTTATTCCCTCCACTGCCTAACAAACAATCACAATGTCGCAACGCCTCACGAAATATTTTGTGCCCGCCACAGGTATCGACAGAGAGGTCATCACGACTGACATCTGTCGGTACTTGGGCAACGATGCGCTCGTGAAACCCGGGCAGCACAAGGTGACACATCCATCGCCGACGGCTTCATCATCAACCATACTGACAGCCCACAGAACAGCAAAGGAGAGCCGATCGCTGGCTACTTCATCACCGCATACCGTGCTCTCACAACGGTAAGAACCCGAAACCACATCATCAGAAAACATCGTTGCTGACCATCGTGTGTTGTCAGGATCAATTGACCGACATCAAGGCCGACTCTGCAAGATGGGGAGCAGAGCGGGCGAAAAACCAGACCAACAGGGGATCACAGGGTGGAGGTATCTCACCATTGCGAGGTTCGGACGTAGGTGTTCGGTCTTCTAACATTACACCAGACGTCGGGTACCGTTCGTCACTTACCCGGGCCCGGCAGCAGCAGCCGCCGTGGGACGATGCCCCTCAACTCCAAGGAGGGGGATATTCCATTTCATCGCCGCAGCAGCAGCCAAACCAGGCAGGAGGAAGATATGATGGCTACTCAGGTCAGCCGCAGCAGCCGCTGCAACCCTATGGAGGACAGCCGGAATACAATCCCAATCCAAACTACTCATATGGGACGCCCGTCCAGTATGGTCTTTCACAAGCACCTTCCCAACCACCACAGACAGGATACGCACCGCCCAACCCTAGGTACGGGGAGGGCAGAGGTATGAACCAGGGCTACCAGCCTGACAACCGCGCGCCTCCACAGGGATACTTCGACCAGCCACCGATCATGCCTCAAGGTCGGGGACAGCCAGTTCCTCCACCGCAGCAGTACCAGCAGCGCGACAGTTTACCAGGCCAGGATCCCTACAACTACAACGGCGGCCGTGGTGCGTATTGACGCTACCCTAGTGTGTGAATCGTGTCTAACTGGCCGCTTCGGCCTACAGGTCCTCAAGAAGACCAAAACATGGAGTATGATGGATATGAGGAAGAGTTCTCGGACCAGTCGAACCAGGCGCCGAAGCCGACCAGCTCGGGGCAGTCAAGGCATCGCAGCGAGAGGAGCGACAGAGATCCGGAGAGGCGCGCCGACAGACATCCTGGGAAACATCGCCGTTAGCATTTTCTCGTGCTTGGACCTCCCGAGTTGCTCTGCTATGGCTCCGTGGACTCGACCTTCTCTTTCTCTCTCTGTTTGAAGACATGATGCCATGGCCTTGTTTCTTTGCTAGGATGTTCACGCCGTTGTGATCCAGCCAGCCATGGATTATTTGTCGGATCTCTGAAAGTGCGTGCTCTGTCGCACCGAGGAGATATATGGCCGTTGCACGGTGTGCACCACTTTTGGATCCCATGGACATTCCATCCTTTATGGAACAGACATGACAGAGACCTGGATGTGCAGCATAGCACCGAACAATTTGCGCTGATGCCCACCTGATGGCTGGAGTTTTTGACTGGATATATTAACGCCTATGGGCGGAGCCCGTCGTGTTTTAGAGCCACCGGCGTTCGCACAAACCCCGTGTTAATTGCAATCCGCGCGCGCCTGGAAACTAGGATACCTAGACGAAATGAACTCAACTCTACAAACCTACCATTACCATTACGCCTAAGGAGAGAATTATGATGAACCGTCCTAGTGGCTACCCTGGACTCTGACGCTCTTACGGCCGTGTTGGACACCTCCATTTTTTATTGCTTTCCTGCCCTCGCAGGCCCCCCCCCTAGGGAAACAGGGCGGCGGGATGAAAACGGAGTGATGGGATTTTTGTTTTTAGGAGGTGTGTGGCGTATTTATTTTTTTGGAAAGGGGGGTGGAATAATTGCATTTGGGCGCGAGGACGGGAGGAATGGGAGGCGGCTGTTTGTATATACGTATCTTCTTTTATCTATATCTAGTTTTTGTCGAGATGTTGGAGTTAAAGAGACTATTTATTGTTTAACTTTGGTTACGATGCGTGTGGGTTATACGTGGTAGATTCGAGGCCGTGGAGAGAAGCGGCTGGTGGTGGTTTGAGATGTGGTGTTGTAAGTGGTTGTGGGCCGATCGACAGACAGCTCTAGATGACAGCTATGCGAGAATAGTGAAACCAGGTCCTCTATAATCACAGTGTTTAGAAACAAATAGAACGACGAGATATGTTCCATACATCCAAGAATGCTTGAGAGTTTATGCACCTGTAAAACCCAAATCGACGGGACCGAGGGGACCCAAATCATTCCACGACAACGGATCCTTACATCACAGTCTCACCACGACCGCATCCAGCGATTAATCGCAACAGCAGCCAGACATTAAATTCCAGACACAGCGAGGTACAAGTCTAAATCCCTCCTGCCAGCGTGCCAGAGGAGGAGCTAGGAGCTCAGGGGTGGTGGCGACTGGAAATCGGGGCTGGGGCGGAGATTAGATTGCGGTGATGCTGTGCTGTGGATGATGGGGGGGATGGGGGATGGGGGATGGGGGATGGGGGATGGGGGATGGGGCGCTGGAGGGGGATGGGAAATAGCGGTGCATGGCTGGGAAATAGCGGTGCATGGCTGGGAAATAGCGGTGCATGGGCTGGGAGATAGCGCTGCATGGCTGGGAAATAGCGGTGCATGGCTGGGAGATAGCGGTGCATGGCTGGGAGATAGCGGTGCATGGGCTGGGAGATAGCGCTGCATGGCTGGGAAATAGCGGTGCATGGCTGGGAGATGGGGCGTGGTACAGTGTAGTGCCCCCCGAAGCCCTGAAACACTGGCGCGTCGCGCACCTTCCACCACTGTACTGTTGTGCAGATCGATCATCACTTTTTCGCTTGGCGTTGAGCACTCCCCAACGCTCACGACACAGGAACCCCCGTTCCTCTTTCTCTTTTCCTCCACGAAAACACCATCTCAACAAAATCCACCTTCGACGATCACTTGTGATATACCTGGGGAATACAGAGAGACTGCAGTCAAGGGGAGAGAATTGTGACGACATAAAGGACCGGTCTAGCGTTTGTGAGCTGCTGTGCGGCTGGTGACGCGGACGGACCCAGGGGGACAGAAAGACGAAGATGTTGACTTTTCGAAGAGCTGTCGCAGCGGCGGCGCTCATACTCACAATCCTCTACCTCTTCACACATACACACAGCGATACCTCGCTATTGCCCTTAAGCTCTGCCGCAGCAGAAAAGCAGCACGGCACCGAACACGCCTCGACAACCGCCTCACACCCCAAAGACGACATCTCGAAACCCTCGCAGGCCTCTTCCAACTCCAAGAAACCCTCCAGCCAGCGCCCCCTCGTCGACCCCTCGACGCTCTCCCTCCCAGACAAGCTTGCCTACCACTTCCCCTACGACCTCCCCACCAAATTCCCCGCCTACATCTGGCAGACCTGGAAGCACACCCCCGCGTCGGGCAACTTCGCTGAGACGCTCCGCCCCGCCGAGGCCTCCTGGTCCGAGAAGCACCCCGGCTTTGTCCACGAAGTCGTCACCGACGCCGTCGCGCTGCACCTGCTGCGCTACCTCTACGCCGCCCTCCCTGAGGTCCTGCAGGCCTACGAGGCACTCCCCCTCCCCATCCTCAAGGCGGATTTCTTCCGCTACCTCATCCTACTCGCGCGCGGCGGCATCTACACCGATATCGACACGCACGCGTTGCGCTCGGCGCTCGACTGGATCCCGGCGTCTGTCCCGCACGAGGCGGTCGGGCTCGTCGTAGGCATTGAAGTCGACGCCACTGATCGCGAGGACTGGGCGGAGTGGTACAGCCGGCGCATTCAGCTGTGTCAATGGACCATCCAGGCGAAACCAGGACACCCTGTGCTGCGCAGCATCGTGGCGCGCATCACGGCCGAGACGCTGCGGAGGCAGAAGGCGGGCGCGCTGCACGTCAGCGACGATAAGGTGGTGGAGTTTACGGGGCCGGCGGTGTGGACGGATGCGGTGTTTGATTTCTTCAATGACGAGAAGTACTTTGAGGGCGTGAGGAATATCACCTGGCGCGACTTTACGGGGATGAAGGGCCCGAAGAAGGTTGGTGATGTGGTGGTGCTGCCGATTACGAGTTTTAGCCCTGGGGTGCAGACGATGGGGAGTGGAGAGTATGATGATCCGATGGCGTATGTCAAGCATGAGTTTGAGGGTGAGCCCTATCCTGTTCCAGGTTCTTGAAAGAGATTCATCATCAGAGCCATAAACTAACTCCCACAGGATCATGGAAACCAGAGAACCTACGCCATATCGGCATCGTCTACGACGGCACGGAGAACGAACAAATCGAAGCACAACAGAAGACGCAGCAAGAAGCACAAGCCCAAAAACAGGCGTAAATGGTTGGCTTTCTCGCTATCACATTCGTTTCGCTTTTCGCCTCAAAAACATCCAAACAAAAGAATCTGTAATAATCCCGCCTTACTGACGCCATGACACATGCTGTTGTATATTATACTTTCGTTTTCAGAGTGGGGTGGGTGGCTGGGTGCATCAAGTGGCGTTGTTTTTACAAAATTTCCTTGCATCCATTGAAGGGGTCGGCCCTGTACGAATACAGCGTTGGCGGTGAGGAATGTAAGAAGTCGAAGAGCATAGGAGAAAGGATTACAACATGCGCGATTCGTTTGCAAGAGAGTGCAGCTCGCACACGTTTGGCGTTTCGTTTTCACTCTTCCAGGGGCAGGCGAATAAAAAAGCCACTTCGCTAAATCCCGAAGACAAACGGGGGAGCTACAACTGCATGCGGGTATGATGGTTTGCGCAGGGTAGTGAACGAGGGGTTTAGGGGCTGGGGGGCGGTTTGTCAGGTTCCATTTCAAGAGCTGAATAGGAGCTGTGGCAATGTACTGTACTGTATGTTGTATGGCTTAATAGATGAATTTTTCGAACAATGAGCCCCTTTCATGATGATGCTTAGAGTTCCTTCCTACTTGTTAGTTCACAAATTTATGTTAATAAGGCTGGGGATGGAAGCCTCTGACCACTTCTCGTCGTCCATTTGGTATAGTGATACAAGCCAAATAGTCCGATTTGCTACGCGGTTCGATGGTGAGAATTGCTTTGACAGTAAGCAAGTAGACCTAAGCAATCAGATGATGAGCAACTAGAGGGTATGCGGGGAGGGCGGGAATGGAGAGGGCGAGAATGGAGAGGGCGAGAATGGAGAGGACGACTAAGTAGAGAATATAAAAAGAGAGGAAATTCCATCGATAGTTCCTTCCTTCCTCCTTTCATCTTCACACTTCTCTGCTTCGGAAGTTATCAGTGTCCTTTCTCTGTTTCGGAATATTTCCACAACGGTCTTTGTTGACCTTGATGTTAGCTTTTATATGGTTTGAATGTAGGTGACATCATGATAGGAGTTGGCATGGACGTCGGCCGTCAATGATAACAAATTGTGATATGTTCCAACTTGACTATGGCGTTGAGCACGTCGGTGTGAAGGTGCTTACAAACTCGCCACCACTATTGATCTGTCTAGTAATGTTGTAGTAATGCCGTGAAGCACCTCAGTTGGTCACCTAAGTTATTGAATGGATCGGGCTTAGCTGTATGTCGCAGTTACTCTCTGTGCCTCTCTTCCCGATCGGATCGGAATTCGGTTTCTATAGGAATTTGCGATCGTATGCAAGTATAATCGTCGGTGCGAACACCGACGATTATATATTTCATCGCTTTACCGTCTCTCTCTTTATCTCTCCAAACACAGAAGTAGATTCCATCAAGTCACTCACACTTCATCTACCTCCACCAAAAACATATACCACCTTCACAACTTCCCTTCCATCTCTCAAAACATGGCCCCCGTCAAAGTCATCAAAAACGTCGCCGTCGCCGGCGCAAGCGGCAACCTTGGCCCCGCCGTCCTCAAAGCCCTCCTAGCCTCGAACCTCTTCTCCATCACAGTCCTCACGCGCCCCTCCTCTACGCACCAATTCCCCTCCAACGTCACCGTCCTCCCAGTCGACTACTCCTCACCCACCTCCCTAACCAGCGCTCTTACCGGCCAGGACGCCGTCATCGCTCTCTTCGGCGCGGAGCAAGCACCCCTCCAGCTTCCCCTCCTTGATGCCGCCATCGCTGCCGGTGTCACGCGCTTCATCCCCTCCGACTTCGGGTCCGACACGCACAACGAGAAAGTCAAGGGCCTTCCCGTCTACGGTAAGAAGATTGAAGTGCAGGCTGCCGTCGCGGAGCGCGCGGCGAAGGGCCCGATTGAGTATACGCAGGTTATCAACGGGCCGTTCCTGGATTGGGGGTTTACGAATGGGTTCCTCGCCGACCTGGGGAAGAAGACGGTGCAGCTTATTGATGGCGGAGATACCGTGATCAGCGGGACGACGAGGGAGCATATTGGGACGGCGGTGGTGGGCGTGCTGACGCATCTAGAGGAGACGAAGAATCGCGCGGTGTATGTGAAGAACTCTGATGTTACGCAGAATGAGGTTGTTGAGATTGGGAAGAAGCTGGTGGGCAGGGAGGGGTGGGTCGAGACGCATGTGAAGAGTGCGGATTTGGAGGCGCAGGCCTGGGCGGATCTGAAGGCGCAGAAGTTCGATGGGGGGCTGTGGATCAACTTTATTTATAAGGCGATCTTTGGGGATGGGTATGGAGGGAGTTATGAGGGGAAGGATAGTGCACTGCTGGGGGTTCCTGCGTTCAGTAAGGAAGACCTGGAGAAGGCTATTAAGGCCGAGTTGGGGGAGAGTGCAGGACAGTAGGTTTACACGCGGCCGGATGTGAAGCCTGGATAACTGTTGTTCATTATAGTGAAAGCCAGAATGGATGGCTGGAAATTAGACAGGCCTGCAATTCACTTGAACAACTTTGATGCACTGTAGTCTGTAGTCGGGCCAAGTGAATTACCATTTCAGTTCATTCTTTTCATCCCAAAACAATCCTCAGATTCCAATTCGAAAACTTAGTATGACCAACCCAGCAGGTCTTCCATGAAAGGTGCGAACCACAGACTCATCTGCCCATCTGACGCTCCGCATACGCCAAATTCTCCGCCTCAGCCCTCGTCTCCTCCTTCCACTTCACCAACAGTTCCTCCGGCGTAACAAACACCCCAAGCACCATACCCCCAAACGCCGCGCCCAGCATAAACAACAAACACCAATACCACCGAACCCTCAACCCCCGAAATGCCATACCAACCACACCAGCAAGTGTGACAGTCGCCCCCCCAAGCCCCCAGGTCTGTACTCGCGCCTCAAACGGCAGAGCAATATCCGCAACCCCGCCCAGAAAAACCCACGTCCCAAGGCTAGAAAAAGTGAGAATCAGCAATCCTACGACGACGAACAGCACAACGTCTCCGTCGTCGTAGAACGTCCTGACACACACTTCCCCGCTGGCGGTGCGCCAGACGCACCCAGGGCACGTGGTGGTGAGCGTGCGGTTCAGCTCCGTGACGAGGGTGGATATGGTTTTTAGGGTTTTGCGGATGGCCTTCTGGGGGGTGCGGGGAGTGGAATGGGGAGGAGAGCTCTCGAACCAGGTGCTTGCGGAGGGTAGAGGCTTGTAGGCAGGCCAGGGGGTGCGGGAATGGAGGTCTTTGATGACGGCGAGGAAGATGAGGAGGGAGAGGAAAATGAGGAAGGCGCCGGTGAGGAGTTTGGGGTTTAGGCGGGGCTGACGGGGGGCGGGTGTGGCCGCGGGCGTAGGTATGAGTGTGGGTGTGGGTGTGCGTTGCCGTGTGGGTGGTTGATGGTATCTTGTTCTGCCTCGAGGCATTTTGAGAGCGGTAGTTCGGAAGAGGGGAGTAGGTAGGTCGGTGTGCAGGTTCTGTTTATTTTTCCTTTGGATGATCGTACTCTGAAATCTTGCGGCTTAGAAAACTTTGATACTCGAAAAGTAAGTTGTGCATTCGCCACTATATATACTCAATACGGTGTTCAAGATGGAGGAACTTCCAGAAGACCATCGAACTTCGTTCCGGGGAAGATACTCTCCCATCGAGAAGAGTGATTCTTCGGCTACTGGCATGGAATGACACCCAATAGTCTCATATGGACAAGCAAAGATTTAAGTGACATCCAGCGAAGAGACACACCAAAATTGCTCAGGGGCATGGCAAGTACTCAGTTATATATGGGAGGTTGCCGTCTAACTTACAAGACTTGTTAATGTGCGTATTAACTCAGAAATACAACCTAGATATATGAGAATCACTACAGACATCTTTCGCCCTGAAGCGCCAGAGATGAGACACAAGGCCAAATAAGGACAAAACGAAACAGCGAGTCGCCTGTTTATTCCGAGATCACTGTTTGTCACCTTAAAACCGCTTCAAAATAACTAGTCTGCCAGAAAATAAATATAGTTTTCGGGCTGGGCAATCGCTAGTCCAACACGGTTAGTTAAATGATCTTTCGAAGCAAAGAGTGTTTGGTAAAAAAAGGGAGTGAGAGAAAGAGACATATATTTATTTTTCGGTGTAGTTTTACGAATTTCCATATCATTCCCATCCTCAAGTAACAATCTCCCCGAAGGACCATAGTGTACCCATCATATATGCTCGAATTATTACCTAGAGGCCATGTGGAATAAATTTCTCATATCTACTACATCTATCTACCACACTCCGACGCAATGGCCTCCTCGAATGCCCCAATCATCCCCATCATCAGGCTGATCCACAGCCTCAGGCGATCCGTCAGTCCCCGTCCAAATAACCCCATCCCGCATGGGAAACAAAATTTGGCGTAATCTTTCAGCCAGCGGCCCAAGAGACTCGAATTCCACCGTAAATTCCCCTAGAATACTCTGGAAGCTATCGTGACCCATGTCAAGCGACTTGCGCACCGCTAGTTCCTCCCACTCGCAGTTGCTCCATTGTCGAAGCTTGCTTGTCTCTGGGGGTCATTGTGGTTCGTTATGATCGTCCATAGGAAGACGTAGAGAAAGGACTCGAGGTCATGTCGATAGGTACAGTCATTCCGTTAAGTCGATACGCGTTTACCCGATATTTATGATTTCTCGATATATTTTGCGGGATCCATTCTTTTTACATACAAACCCCGATATACACGATATTGTGCCTTTTCTTCAGATTATCGACTTATACTAACCTCTTCTTCACTTTACAGGATGCCTCTAAAGAAGCTCAATTCGATGACTCTCAACCAACGACGTACTCTCCGACGCTAGCACCGCGAACAACGCCCTCGACCTTCGTAGAAAGCTTGCATCGCATGGTTCTAAGACTAATACTAGACTCGAGTCAGCCAATCTACTGTCTCCGAATCTCTTAGCGCTCGATTTGCCTACCTTGACGGCACCCCACAAGCAGACGATCAAGAAGCTCGACGACGACGACGTGACGCTGCTTAGCCACAGCTAGAAGCTATCCTTTTCGACTAGCAGAAGCTTATTAAATGACGACGAGGGGTTACAACAGGTGAGGTTTTGCAAGAAAAGTCAAAGCAGATCTAGGTACAATTACTACAACACGAAGGGGAAACAGTCCTAGAGTTCAGCTTAGGGTAGGTCACAAGGTTTCGCCAATGTTCCTCTACATGCAACAAGCCGATTTCAACCTCTTGATCAAGGCATTATTGCTACCCTTAAAGCATATTACTAGTGACAATGGCTCTACTATATGCTTGAATGTTACAAAGTGAATAAAGACCCTGTCTAAGCAATAAACGTCCAACTTGCCATTTGATGGCTTATTCGATCATAGACTCACGATGTTCGAAACAGCACAATTCCCTAACGCCTAATTCAGCTTCCAATACACCCTCTTCCTAATATAAATGACCTTTATTAACAAGTACAACAAGTTGGCCACATCCGCGATGCTATGGATCTCTCGAACTTCTTAAATCTAGTAGAGGAGGACATGGAGACAATTGAGGAGAGCATTAGGGAGCCTATAGGTGAGGATATACTGCTAGAGCAGGTCATTGCACAATATATACTAGATTCTGAGGCTTAAGATGAAGATAAGGATGAAAAGCTTAATCCGTAGTCTATACTAACCCTACAAGCTGCACATCAAGCTATACAACGTCTGATTGAGTTCATAGAATCTAGGAATAGTGACACGAAGGAGGCAGCAGTATAATCGTTCAGATCCGCCTGGTCGCTTCGCTGCTAGTCGGAATAAGCAAGTTGTCTTGTGGGAAGCAAGATGTTTGCCCCAACATTTAATTTCCACAACAATTCTATAACGATTCAACAACATGTCTGACCACAAGACTACACTTCGTGAAGCAAAGGAATGGCTCCTTGCAAATCCTTCTGAATTAGTTTCTACTGCACATGTCGAGGTTGAGGAGCTGTGGGTCAACAAGTACAAAGCATTGGCAGTTAGTGCAGAGATCGCAGAAGTTGAAGGTGAAGATACTGAGAAGCCGCTTTCGAATGAGTTTCTTACATGGCGTACACAAAAGCGGGGTACTGACGTTATTCAAGATGAATATACTCAGTATTTACAAGCCCCACTTGTTAAAACTGATGATGCGAGAGCATGGTGGGCTGAGCCTAATCGTTGGTTCTCAAACCACCGCCTGGAGGCGGTTGGCGAAAGCGAACTGGGACGCGAAAGCGATTGTGGGACACTTCGGGAGCGGACTCGCGACGCGACACGACCGACCATGAACACGACTGACAACGTAACAATGCTGTAAATATATATAAGTTATAGAATTAAATAATTAAAAAAGATTTGGATCAATATTGTCAGGCAGTGATTGATCATCACAGCCACCGTCACTTGCATCGTGAATCATGTCGTAGTCCAAGCCTGCAAAGTTCACGTACCCACTCTCCTCGATGGCTAACAGTCGGTCCGCCTCCTCCTCCTCCTCACGTTTCTTCTGTGTAACGTCCGGGTCAATGATTTCTGTACGTAAGCCAATTGGTGGCTCCGTGTCTGGGTTACTTTTTTGAAATTCATGTAGGTCCTTTTTCCGTGTACGTTCTGCCTTCCGTGCATCGATGCCAGCACGGAGCTGCATCTTACGCTCAACGTTCACCATGCGTGTTCTCTCTCTTTTCTCCCGTGCTTCTTCTAAAAGTTGCTCCTTTACCTTCTTCTCATAAATCCTTTGCCGTGCATGTTCAACTGTAATAGCACCGCCTTTTTGAATAGATTTCCGACTTCTAACCTTCCGCTGTCGTTGCTCAGTCATAATAGTAGTAATTTGTACAAGCTCTGACTGGAACAGCTCAGCCTCTGTTAACTGAGTTTGGATTTCAGTATAAGAAGATGCCCACTTTTGCCGTGACGGTGAACTAAGGATCTTATCAAATGTTTGACTCCATGTTGAAAGATCATAACTTGCTTGAAATGCGCGTTGTGGTGTTTCTAAAACTTCTGGTTTTGCATATATAGCAACCTTCTCTTGAATCTTTTCATAGTTAGGTGGCCAAATACCTGCATCTCTAAAAGACTTGATACAGTTACCCTTTGTAAATGTCTGCTTACGGATAGTAGACAAGTCTCTAAAGAAAGATATAACATTATAATCTGTATCAAAATTCCGGATTGCTTGTTGAATTGCACGTCGGTGCCAATGTTTATATTGTGCAAACACAGTAACATCTAGCGGTTGTAGAATATGCGTAAGATGAGACGGAAACACATGTAAGTGTATATTGTGTTGATGTGCAAGTATTATAAACTCTGGAACTTCATGTGAGACATGAGAGTCCATTATTAACAATTTCGTTCTTATAGACGGTGTATGTTGAATAAAATGCTGTAGATATTCCATTGCAAGCTCAGAGTTTGTATATCCGGAATCGGATACTGCAACTTTCTCATCACCGTGTAGATTGTCATGGTACCAACTTTCCATGTGTAATTTTCCTTGTATAATAAGGAACGGTGGAAGTGCAATGCCAGCAGCTGAAATTGTCTCTATAACTGTAAGACTTTGTCTGTTCTCTGGAGCTTGTATATAAAGCTATAAATATTAGAATAATATAAAGTAAGATAAGTAGAAACAACTTACCTCCTTTACTGCAGATGGTACCAACACATGTTCACCGGTGCTCATTCCTACACGGAATCCAACTTCATCAAAGTTGTAGATATCACCTGCAGTAATATCTAGTTGATTACACACATCTTTAAATTCATAAAACCATTCTTTAATAGCTGATACTTCATGAGATGCAACCCGTGCTGCTTCAATTGGCCGGGTTTTTATTGTATGGAAGTTGTGTTGTTGTGTCTTAATCCATGTCTGGAACCACCGTTGTGATGGTGGTGCACGTGTTGGAGTTTCTGCTGCACGTAGTTGGCAGATGGCACTGAACACCATAGGCTTAGTTGCACCGTACCCATTTTCGTATGAGCGTTGGATGTATCTTTGTATAGCTGTAACTTGTACATCAGACAGTACTCTGTTCTGGCCTCCGCGTGGCACAGCGGTGCGTTGTGGTGATGCGCGTCGTTGTCGTAGTCGTATAGTCCGGAGCGTACTTGGGTTTACTCTGTACATCCGTGCTACTGTAGCACTCTTCTCTGTTGGGTTTTCATTTAAAAATTCAATGGCATTTAAAAGAGCTTCATTTTTATTTACTTCAACTACCGGCATAGTTGTGGTTGTAGTTGTGCTCGTTGTCGGTCATGTTCATGGTCGGTCGTGTCGCGTCGTGAGTCCGCTCCCGAAGTGTCCCACAATCGCTTTCGCGTCCCAGTTCGCTTTCGCCAACCGCCTCCAGGCGGTGGTTTGAGAACCAACGATTACTCAACGGGCTACATTTCCAAACTTAAGTGTAATGGCATTAGATTTGTTATCAATACCCTCAATGTCTGCAGCGCCTGAAAGGCTGTTCTCTGGTGTGAAAATCACGATTTCCGACCGTAGGAACAGGCTAGGTATTATGGCAATTCAAGCTGTTGAGTGCTTGAAGTCTTGGTTTAAGAAGAATAAGAGTACAGCTTTGCCGTTTGTAGATGATGAGCTGTCAACACTCCCAGATACATTGTTGCAAGAGGCAGCGATGACTATGATATCTAGCTAGTTCAATATGTTCTGAAATTCACAGGGTTATAGAGTATACAGTTTTTACAGCTTCAATTTTTAACATTACATGAAATACTTTAAGTATTGCCCGTATTAATACTTAAGTATTGATACAGAGCTCACTAGTATCATATCAAGCTTCACCCGTACCGTATTGATACGGCCCGTATCATAATGGCCCGAATACTTAAGTATTATACTAATGGGAACACTGATCGTATGAGCTCCTCTTCCTCAATTGGGGTCAATGGACGTTGTTTGTCGCGTCTACCAGCTCGTGGTTGGCTTCCGTGTTGCGACGGGTAAGTGTTACATGTGTGACCTCGTATAGCTGCGCAGCACGTCGGGTGGACAGTTTGTGGGGTGATTTGGTAGCTTGAATGGCTAGTAAAACTCGGCCTTCATTAGCTTTCTGAGGCATCTTTTTGTTGTGGTGTGGTGGAGTATGAGGTTGCGATGTAGTCGGCAAGTGTTTCATTTGGTGGGATGTTCCGTTTGGTGGTAATGCTTATTCCGACTGGGAGCGAAGCGACCAGGCGGATCCGACGATTATTTACGGTCCTTTGAGAAGTTTGAGAGAGAGTTAGGGCTTACAGTAGCCAATTCTAAGGCACAGGGAACCTTGGATGGCTGGTTTATGTAAATAGCCTCATTTTATATAGATGTCACGTGAAATTCGATATCTCAATATTTACGCTATCTCGATATTATTTACAGGAGCTGAGCTATCGACTTAACGGATTATGACTGTATGCGGTTCCTTATTCAGAACGCCGATAGCTATAAATGGTCTGGGGATATATCTTGGTGAAGGATTTTGGCGTCATGATAGGGTGATTTGTGACACTTGGTAGCGTCACGGAATACTTGAAGCAACTCTAATGGCGTGTTGGATGCACGCAAGGATACGGTTTTAAAAGAAGTCGCCAATTTCTGCTGTATATTCGATAAGTCCGTCGGCATTAGAAGTAGCTTCCTGTTGTAGAGCCTCATTTCTTCCATCCATTCATTCCGGTGAATTTTCTCTATTTCCCCCATCGCATACTCCGTCCGATACTCTGCATCCTACGTGGGCTCTAATTATTCGTTCGTTCCTGACCCTTTCTTCACATGTTTTACTTACGCTTTTAAACAGTTGGTACTTTAGTGACCTGACGTCATTATGATACAGCACTGGTTCGCACTGAAACCACTGGAAACTTCAGCCATCGGCCCCCTAATCGTCCAATCATGGCCTGGAACACCTGGCAGTTTCCAGTTACCCCGAAAACAGTACCATTGGGCAGAGGAAAGTACCTGACGTTACTGTCGTCTGTTGTCTGATACGTACTAACTTGCGTTGCCCAGAGTCCCCTCGTCATTATGTTCTTAAACCCTTAAAAATCCATCAACAGCCTCAAAAGTGCCCCATTCAACCCCCATTGGCACTCCTCTGCCCTCTGCCCTCTGCCCTCTGCCCTCTGCCTTTTATCCTCCTCGATCTCCTCTCTCTTCCCTCGACTTCCCCTTCTCCTCACTGTTGTCGGGGATCAACTCTCCCAGCTGCCAACGAAAGCTTGGGTCTCGCAGATCACACCAGGCTCAAGTCACGTGATCTCACAGCAACTTACGCCCAATCCGCCAAACCTGATTTACATTGAGCTCTGGTGGGTCTGGCGATTTACTTGTAACTCGTTGTCATACTTACAACGGCTTCTGCATGAACGACATCTCGATGCTACTATAGAGAGAACCTCATCAGCCCTCAGTTGGCAGAGGTTTTCTAGGCCCTTCGCCCATTTAGCCAGTATGTTTGCCCGAAGGAAGAGAGCTGCGTCGAATCCGGTACGTCTTCTTGGTTGCTTGCGCTGTTCGCGTCGCGACATCATCCCATGGAGATTGAGCCCTGTTGCACAACCAATCCTTGTACTGACTCGGATTTTGTTTACAGCACCCCAACCTTAACGTCAACGCGGACCCTTCTGCGACGACAGCGGCTGCCCAGGCGTTCCTGGCTCGAAGCAAATCTAATGCGACACTTTCCGCCGCCGCCGCAGCGACAGCGCTGCGATCGCGGCCGACATCTCCGACCAACGTCGCTGAGGTCCAGACGAAGCGAACGATGCGCAGGGAGAATTCCGGTTCCCCGAGAGCAAGCTCCGTGCCAGCGCGAGCATCCTCCCAATTGGAACGGCGGCGGAGTTCTAGTTCGATGTCCGAAAGGACATTTCGCGACCCGTCGCCAGTCAGAGGAGCCGCACGACCGAGCGCACCAGATGCGCCGCCTGTGCCGACAATACCGGAGAACCTGATTGAGCAAGCGTCGCCGACTCCAGTGAGGAGGCCGTCTAGCGTCCAGCCCGCGCCAACCCGTGTTTCATCCCCACCAGTGAATCCAGGGACCGGGAGAGGGCTTAGTCTGCAACCTACAATGAGGACACCAGCGCAGACGAGATCCGGACCGCGTGTCACCAGTATGTCCAATATTCAGGAGCTAACCAGTGTAGATCGGCCGAGCAGTAGAGGGTCCGTCAATTTCTCTTTACCCACTAGCCTACGACGAAGCTCTTCAGCTGCGCAATGGATGCTAACTCCAAGACAATCCAGTCAAGCTTTAAATGGGAGTGAGCTTGTGTTTGACCCAAATACGAGAACTCTTCGGACACGCGCCGATATGTTGTTCTATGAACAGGGATTACGAGAGGCTTCACAAAAGCCTGTTATGAGGAAGAAGAACCTGCGCCAAGAGCAAGGGTCTCATTTTTCGGAGGGGTCGGTTGGGGGGAGGCTAAAAGGGACCGCACTTGATGGCTTACAAAGGCAGAACGTCCACGAGAGACAGGCGCAACAAACTTCGCAGGGTATACTGAGTGAAGAGTTCCCACGGAGCCAACGAGTCGCAAGTCCGCGCAACAGCATACGAGACTCATCAGACAACGAAAGCGAAGCGTCGGAGAGAACGTCGAAATATAATAACCGGGCTGGGTCACAGCAGTTGTCAAATAAACCCTCGATGGTGAGGGAAGAGAGGCAACGGGAAGAAGACGAAGATGATTCTGTGAAGGTACTAGGCCGTCAAGCGGCTCTCAGGAAACTGGAAAGCGCCAATCGCGATGACCGTCATATTTCTCCGTCGCCCTTGCCTCGCTCGAAACCTGGGAGAGCGAGGAAACAAGCTGAAAATATTGGGTCTAATGTTCAACAAGACCAGCCACGGATGGAGGTAACAGAGGCGCCGGTTACCCAGGCGGAAACCGCACCTGCACAAATACCGGCGCCAGCACAAGAAACAGCTCCCAAACCAGAAGCTCCGATTGCTCTGGCGCCGCTCGACACGGCAACAAAAGCTCCGATAGCTCTGGCGCCGCTCGACACGGCAACAAAAGCTCTTCGCATGGAGAAGCAGGCAGACAGAGCACACTCAGTCAGCCCTACCCGTGCGCATTTCCTCGCGACTCCAAGCCCAGTAAGCCAATTTTCAATACGCCACGAGCCGCCGGCACGATCAATATCGCCTCGCAAATCGGCGCTGAAACCATCGCCGTCGCGGGGCCCGTCTCCTATGGGGTATACCCCTACTGGCTGGACGGCTGGTCCCAGCTCTGGCGATGTCTCCGATGCGTCGACGAATCAATCCGAAGAACGAACCGTACCAAAGAAGAAGTCTGTGCGTGTCAGTTTTGACGAGCGCAACAATGTCGTCGTTGGCGAAGAGCCTGAAGTGCCCGAGGCCAGACGGACGTGGACCAGCGGCTATATCCGAGGAAACAAAGCCACATCTCCCATCGAGGATGGACCGGATGAAATTATGGGCCCAAGGCCCGTCTTACCGTCCTTCGGCAGCGTGCGTAAGAAGCAGCCCAAAGATTTAGAAGATCGCCCTCTGGTGAAGCCAGTAGGTCCTCAGGGCCCCTCACCTGCGATTTCTCCATCCAGTAGTGGAAGCGAGTATTTCGCAGGCCAGTCTTCCAACCATGCTGTTGGGTCTTTATTGCAGCAGGAGCGGAACTTAAGGGCTGCGCCAAGCGTGTCTAATTCGAACGATCAACTGCCGCCGGAGGTTATTTCGGTCGAGGGAAGCGGATACGTTTCCGATAGTGGAAGTAGCACCCACAGCTTCGTGGTGGGGAAGGCCGTGACTGTTCATCTAGCTGTCAAGGGTGGGGATGCGCAGAAGACGGCTGAGGCTGGTGGAAAGCCCGGCTTTATTGAGGATCTTGGAGTTATTCCGGAAGTCGAGACCCCGGGTGACGATGCTGTCCGCGAACAACTGGAGGAGTTTCCTACAGAGCCCCGCCAGGAGGATGCTGCCGCCCATGACTCCAAGACCAACGGAAACGGCAATGCTCCGACTTTTACGGTTACACAGCCAACACCGCTGCCAGAGCAAGGGGAGTTCCAGCATCAAAGCCCGAGTGGTTTGAACGGCAATACCTGGGAATCTGAAAATGCAAAGGAGATCCCACTAAAAGATTATATTGCCGGAAAGAAGGTTGCAGGGGGGGCAGTCGCCGTGCAAAATATTCTCGATGTCCACCCTGTCACCGCGGATGCGGAATCTTCTGATGGCGACAGCATTTACAGCGATGCTGCCGAAGAATTATCAAACAATGGTGATGGCTTTATGTCTCTAGACGACGTTTTGGGTGGCAAAGAACCTAGTGTCAAAGCCGCGGAGACACCAAAAGCGCCTGATTCGGGCGAAGGATGGGATGAGTCCCAGCGTTTCTGGAGCGGTTTATCGGCAGACAAACGGCGACAGATGGAACTCGATGCCCTTCTTGAGAACGACGAAGAGCGCGAAGAGCGCGAAGACTCAGAAGACGAAGTGCCATATCTGAAGCCGCTGAAGCAAGCATCTGTTGCAAAGGCTGAAACGACCGTTAAGGAGAAGCAACGGGCCAAAAACGCAGCCGCTGCAGGTGTGATTGACCGAACGTATCAGATTACCCCTGGTGCCAAGGCAGGACCCGACGGTGTGCCACGTGCGCCAAAGCCCAGGCAGGAAGATGGCCATATGCGAATGTCAATGCGAGACAATGCTGGAGGCAGCATGCAAAGCAACACATCTGGCCACCCGAGAGAAGGTAAGAAGCTACAAGCTGGAGGCGCTGCGGCAGCAATGAGGGTGAACGCTCCTAAGCCTGCGCCCACACCCAAACCCACGCTTTGCCGCAGCGCATCTGTAGAGTCTGACAGTAGCTTTGTCCGTGACAGGCCGCGAAAAGAAGGCTTCCAGATGAAGCGCTCGATGCGAGGCTCCTACAGCAGGGAAGCTCCCACTCTTCGTGGCCCCAGCCCAGTAGACGCAACACCTGCGCAATCCAGCCGCTTTAGCATCCGCTCGCTCTCTCCTTCCTCCCGCAGGCTCTCAATTAGTAGCACCACCCGCCCAACGCCTTCTCTCCGCACTGCACCCGACGAACCCCCCAAATCGCCTCGCCGTCTCTTCAGCCGGACCAAAGCAATTCCAGCGCCAAAGGCATTCAAGCCCAGTAGCCGCTTCGCCGACTCAAGCGACGAGGAGGACGCCCGCCCCGCGACCACCTTCCGCAGCCGCTTCGCCGACTGTAGCGACGAAGAGGACGACGTACCACCGCCACCTGTCACAGGCTCGTTCCGCCGCCCACGGAGCTTAAGACCCATACCGCGCTCCAGCGCCGCCGACGGCGACTCGAGCGACCTGCCTGATAGCGATGACTCGCCTCCCTTCCGCGGTGCATCTGGCGTCAACGCAGCTGCGTTGCGCATGGCCCGCGCCAACTTCGAGGGCGGCGGCAACGCGACAGAAATTTCTGCCGCTGATTTCCGTGAAGCCCCGCGTAAGAAGGGGGGACTGATGAGTATCCTTCGCCGCAAGAAGCCGGAGCAGTCGGGACGCATTCAGCGTACGGACTGGGACGAATCGGCAGCCAGGAGGGATACACCACTTGAGCGCAGCAAGACCGATTTGGAGGTCGTGAAGAGCAGAGATGGGAATGTGAGATCGGTGCAGAGCCCGAGGTTACAAAAGAGAGCTGGGCCGCCGAGGACGGCGAGGTACCAGGCTCCGCCTACTGTTGAGGCGCAGGCGGATGGGAGGCCGGCGACTAGTGATGGGGTTGCTGATGAATGGAAGGCCAATGGGGAGGGGGGTGGTGTTGTTAATGGGGCTTCGGCGTCGAGGCCGGGGGTCCTAAGGCGGAATAGTACGGCCGGGTCTGTCGAGATAATTGGGGGGGATGGGAAGAAGAAGAAGTTTGGGCTATTACGGCGCTTATTTGGCAACTGAGTTGGATATCGTGTCTGGTTTTGGGTCGCTGCTGGTTGCTGTAATACATATGGCCTGGGGATGGGGGTTAAAGGGGTAAAAAGGGATATATACACGAGGGTCTGGCTGGGGGTTGGCGCATTCACGGCTGGGAAGTGGGCGGATGATAATTTCTGGAGGAGTGTATATACGTTGTACCTTACACAAGACCATACGGCTTTTCCTTATGTTGCATGCAAGCTATAATATATATACGAGAACAGTTAATCTGGCGTCTGAAACCTACTCTGCCTTGGCCGTACTCCCATGTTGTGTTTCTATTAACTCTAGACGCCTTCCGCCTGTTTTCAAAGTAGCTACGTCAAGACACCCAAGCAGGCCCAGAATATATATCTGTGTCATCGGGAACCTGCGCCAGTGAGAGTTTCACAGAAGACAGTCCACGAGCTGGTTTTGGGGAAGACTTGCTGCGTAAGCTTCCCTGATGGTTGGCCAAGAAACTCTGACAGGGGTTGATCGGATGCTCCACCCGAGGACTTGGTTAAAATAGAGTTGCCTGGACTCTTGGAATATAAATCAGTGCACGACGACGATTGAAGCCGTGAGAATAATACAGGCAACAGCATTAACGCGGGAACATTAGAACCAGGCTTTTCTTTTCAATATCTTCATACCCAATATCCATATCAGTCAGTCTAAGAAGCCACCCTTCCATTAAGTCCAGCATAGTCACTGGGACGCGCATCACCGCGGAGAGATCCCCAGCGAGGGAAAGGGGAAACCAGGACCCCTCAACCCGGCAGGCACGCCACACGCAACCCCACATCCCCGCCATGTCCGCCACCACCAGCGTCCCCTCCATCCCCGAGCTCTTCCAAAACATCCTCACGCACCTCCCCGTCCCCGAACTCCTCCTCACCGTCCCCCTCGTCTCCCGCACCTGGCAACACGCCATCCTCTCATCCCCCCTCCTACAACAGCAACTCTTCCTCGCCCCCGCCCCAATCACCACTCCCAGAACCGTCAATCCGCGCGGCCAAGTTCCCCGCTCTTTTCGACAATCCGCATTTCGGGAAGCGGTATGATATGCCGAGTAGCACACAGAGGGCGTATGCGCCGTTCCGGTACATGATGAATCGGTACATGAGGCGATATGTGGTGAAGATGGAGGAGGTGTGGGAGATGGAGTGTTTTGCTAGTGAGGGGGCGAGGGAGGTGTATTTTTACCCCGGGGCGAGCTGGCGCAGGATGTTGGTCGTGCAGCCGCCTGTGTCGGCGACGGATCCGCGGGATGGGGTCGAGGCGGGAGGGGTGGGGAAGGAGGGTTTGACGATTGGGGCTTTGTTTGAGGAGATGGTGCAGGTGATTTGTGCAAATGCGAGGGCGAGCGTGGAGCCGGCGGTGGTGAGGAATAGTCAGTGGAAGCAGGGGAGGGGGATTGTGCTTGATTGGGGGGAGCCGATGGCGAGCGTGATGCCGGTGTTTCGGGAGTTCTTTCATAGTCGGTGGGAAAGGGAGGAGAAGATGAGTAGGCTTAGCATAGAGGGGAGTTCAATAGGTGAAATAAATGAGAGGAGTTCAACTTGTCATGATACTCTGCGGTGGGTATGTATGTTAGTCGTTTACTTTGGGAATATTTCTTGGGGGTCTGATAGAATCTAAAGCGAGAAGAATGTTTAGAGATAAATAATGAGCTAAATAAATATGGAAAACATTGTCATAATTTCGTATCTAAAAGTGCTTCTAAACTATAACCTTGAAAGCGTAACAAAATCTAACGATATGAAGCTATCTTTCTCGCCCAAGACTCGTCTCCCAACTTGCACGGATGAAAGTCTGCCGACAACAAAACCCCCATCTCCTCACTTCCTCTCACTTCATCAAACCTGTCCGCATCCACGGCACATCCCCAATGCTCATTTTCTTCTTCGCACATCTTCAGCACCGAAATACGCCACTTCATCCATACCTCCCAGTCCTCGCCAAGAAACGCATCCGTTTGCTCAATCATAAAAACCGGCCGCTCACGCAGCCACCACCATCTTGTGCCATTTCGCCAGCACAAACGCCAACGCAGCGTAGTAGTGTGCCATGATAACCAGCGCCTTCGGCTGATTGCGAGTTTGCCAGGATGACGAACTGTGGAATTCTCACTCCATGCCCGAAGCATCAGGCGGCGGAGTTCTCACTCCGCACCATGAGAAATAGACTTGGGGGCAAACTCCGGTCAAGCGTACGGACTTGCTTACCCGCGACTAACTCAGAGGAGAGTTCTACAGTATATAGAGTAGCTAGAGTAGCTAGATTAAATGAATATGCATTTTACTACTGATCAATTGGGCCCTACTCGTGATACCCGAATTATCACTTACTATTCTACCGAACCTACCAAGCGCAGATTCAACACGAACTCGCCTGGTAGGAATGACAGCCAATGAACGAGATAGAGCGCACCAGCGCGTCCGGGGAAGCACCGTCAAATGTTAGCTCTGATTCCACATTCGCAAGGATGGGCGCCAAGCTATTTATTATTGACTCATAGGACCCGAAATCGGAGTTTGCATAATGAGGATTCGTCGTTTTAATCATGAGGGAGAGATTGTAGCCGGGTCCACTATCGGGGGAGATGTCTGGTAGCAGCATTGGTGTGCAGAGAGGGGCGAAAGGGCTACGGGGAACACAGGCTGGGTTATAGCGAACGATATCGTAGAGACCGCAGGCGTGCTGGAGAAAACCATCCATACCGGGCTGTGACGGGTCGAAGGTGGGGTTACTGCCTGAGTGCATGAGGAAGAGGAAGGTGGTAGCTAGGACGGCCTCGAAGTTATTGGTGACGTAGGTTGGGCTGCTGATGGCGCTGCGGAAGGAGCGGATGGAAGCCTGGAGATGCTTGTTGGACTCGATCCTGTGTTCTTCGTAGGAAGCTGGATTGAGGCGTTGAAGCTGGGTAGAGCTAGTCATGAGGACGGCGTGCATGAGAAAGTCATTCTGCGACATGTGTCAGTTACTGCGTGGGACCGTGGGGGCTGTACAGGGCTTCTATACGTTAAATGCTAGCTGTACTCCGTCTTGTGTCCAAAGACTTTTGAGGAAATGACTTCCAATGAGGTCATTACCAGTAAACTCAGCAATATGAGATAAAGCCTGGACATCCCGTATGCTCTAGCCTTCTCCCACGAGGATAGGGAGCTGCGCTGGGACGCTAAATGACGGAGAAGCATTCCTCGGCACCATGGCTCTCGACCCACTGCTGAAGGCTGGGGAACGATCGGGCTCCTTGCATGATGACCCTTCGCCCCCCGGTGGAGGCAAAAACGGTATAGGAAGCTGCGCCTGAGACAGGAGGCGGTGAGTGCGTTTGTGCCGGCTGCGGTGAGGAGGAAGATGGAGATGGCGGGGAGAAGGGGGGGTTGGTGGGGAGGGCGAGGGAGGTGGTGGGGATGGAGGAGAGGGGAAGGAGGGGAAGGGGAAGGGGAAGGGGGTTACGATAGAGGAGGTTGAGAATGAGGATGCACGGTGATAGAGGTGGGGTGGGGGATGGAGAGCGGGGTTGTTTGAGAAGGGGGGTTAGTTGTGGCGCTTGGAGTCTGAATAGGGACTGTGCGTGGCAGCCAGTTGTACAGAAACTATAATTAAAAGAAAGGGTTTCAGTCACTCAGGTTTATAATTGTCATATTAATTACCATACTCAAGCAAGCGTGATTGTGCCCCCTGTTGTCTCCTCAATGTCTCTTATCAACTCATAGACGAGTGTGACAAGTCCACATTCTGTACTCGGATCGGCGGCGAACAGCATGCCTACCCATTCCTTCTCCAGATTGAACACCAACGACCCTGAATCCCCCCCTTTTGCAAATTGCTCCCCTGAATGCAACGTCTTGAATTCATATTCACCGGAGACCAAGCCGTTATCCCACGCGATATCCCGTCGAATCAGATTGAACTCTGCAGCAGTGCAGTTTTGACCCGCACAGCCATCCGAGAGACCGCTTGATTATAGGAGACTAAGTAGTCTACCAATGGTTCCGTCGAATGGGTCATCGATTGCGCCAGCACTATGTACAGATGCGGCGGGAACTCTTGGCCCTGTGGTGAACTATAGTGCCGCTGGAGAGGAGGAAGTGAAAAAGTGCTTCCTTAGATGCCATCATGTGGTAGCGCCTGGCGATTCAGCTGGGAAAGAGAGGAATGACACGCATGGTATTGGCATAAACGGGAGGGAGGTTTACTAAAATCGACATTGACTACCCCGCCAAATACGATTCTGAGGAGACGAGGATTAAGATGGCTCGAATCGAAAAAGAGGAAGGAACAAAGGGAGATGTTGAGATCATTGAACGCCTTGACGAAATTGCCGCTCAAGGGCCTATTGGCCAGGTCAAGTTTGCGTCAGGGTATCGGCTTCTTGAAAATCGTCGAAGAATGGACTGGGCATTGGTGGAACTCGATCCGACACTCCCAGTGCAAAACCTCTTGCCAATGGAGACTCAGTTTAGTGAAGAGTGTTTCCATGGGGTTCCTGAAAACCGGAGTCGCTTCCCACCGGCTAGCGTAGGCACGGAGGCAGTCAAGCAAGAATGCTGCGCCGCGCCGCGCTGCGGGGGTAAGAATAAGAGTCATACATCCCCCGCGATGAAAGGCGTGCGTGAAGCGTGCGTGACATCTCAAACGGACAGAAGGAAGGGAGCCAAACAGATGGCGCGGTATCGCCGCCGAGGACGGAATCAATCACCTCTATCCTTAAGTGAGCCCCTTTCATACCTGGGCCATCATGCTTTGAGAGAGCTGACATTTGGATTCTGGTTCACCAGATTTGAGGTTCAGATATGGTATTCTAGATTCCAGTACTTCAAAACTAACGATTGACATAATATCTCCTCCCAGTCCCGCCAGGTGCTCACAGCTTAACAGCAACATTCTCATTCATATACTGGCCGACATCTCCCATAAATGCCGCCGCAACACAAGCCGGCGCGCCAAATGCAATCGTAATATAATAAATCAACTTAAACGCAGCCGCGAACGACTCCAGCGCCGCCTCTCCAACTGCTTGGTACGCTGCCGGGTCCGCCATCAGCTGGGGGATAGCCTTCGCGAGTGCCGAGTACGGCACGGCGGACATGCCCTGGACGAGGTTAAAGATTACCTCCGGGTCGTAGACGCCCGCCTTGATCATGGCAGGGGCTACGAGGGCGTAGCCACCCTCGGTAACCTTGGCGACAAAGCGGTTGTAGAAGATGGCGAGGCCGAGGACCTGGGTTTGCGCGCGCAAGGCGACGGTAAGGGCTGTGACGGAAGCGAGGAGGTCTGGGGGAGTGATGACAGTGATGATGACTTGGTTGGGGACGAGGACGCCGCCGACGCCGAGGAGGGCGAAGCAGATGGCAGGGAGAGCTGTGGCGACGTTGTGGGGGTCGATTGCTGTGAGAGAGGCCGACGCTAGAAAGTGTTAGGGGGGTTTGAATGGGGACCGGTAAGGGGGAACGCACCAACTGTCTGCATGACACAAAACATGGTCATGACCACAGTGATATGCTTCTTAAAGACGTGAAGCAGGAAGGCAGACAGGATTGCCCCGCCAAGGATGCAAATCCCGATGGGTAAGGTGTAGAGCCCATTCTGGTGATGGTCTGCGCCAAACACGGAGATTCCCTCGATGGGCCAGAACACAACCAGTGGGACATAGTTGATACCCGCCGCGAAGATGACAAAGAGCATGCAGAAGAATGGGCGTGGCGCCTTGATTATGCGGCGTGGAAAGAGCGGATACTTCGTGCCAAAAAACTCCCACGCCACAAAGACGAACATGAGCGCAAATCCCAATAGTAAGAAGGATAGGACATGTGCGGAGGTCCACGCATACTGCTGCCCGCCCCAGCTGAGTGCGAGGAGGACAAAGACAAGGCCAATTGTCAGCAGGGCACCGCCGATAAAGTCGATGCGGGAGATGAGTTCGCGGCGGGATAGGCCAAGAGAGTTAACGCGTGGCGGAGGTCGGTAGAATATCATGAGGATGATAAGCGTGAGAGCATTCCAAAGGGCGAGGGCGCATCCAATCCAGCGCCAAGACACCTGAGCCATCCAGTTTGCGTAAAGGGAGCCCGGGGACCATGGAATTATGGAACTGAGAGAAATGACCGCGTACAAGGGACGGCGTGAGGTAGGCACAATCTCAGAAACGACAGCTATTGCGAGGAGTTCCTGGGTCACGGCGCCAGCCCCGAGGAGGATGTGGCCCGCTATGAATCCCGGGGCGTTGGGCGTGACAGCACATACTATTGCGCCTACGACAGAGACCAGCAGCCCAATTATAAAGAGGGATTTGCGGCCGATCAAGTCGGCGAGGGGTCCTATGAAGGGGGCCACGGCGCCCATGGCGACATAGCTTGCTGTGAGTAGCCATATGGTGAGAGATTGGGCATTTAGTTCTTTGGCAACGGTCGTGGTGAGAGTAAGGTAGAGGAGCGGGAAGATTTGGGAGCCGCAGAGGGCAAATGAGCAGCCGACGACGGTCATGAGAAAGGAGACAGAATGCTAAATTTCGTTAAGACATGTCCCGGCTGAGGAAGTATGGAGTAAGAGAGACTTACAGTGCTGTAGGCCACGCCATCTCCAGTCTGCAAATCTGTTGCTTCATGATTGTCGTACTTCTCGTTGTGGGGCGACTCTATGGGACGAACTTCAACATGGCTAGCTTCCGTTGGTGTAACTTGTTTGTCCAAGCTCTGTGTAGATTTCTCTGCTGACATTGTAACGGATTGAGACAGATCCAAGAAGAAACCAGTGGGCGACAGATAGGGCAGCCATGGTGTATATATGGAGAGAACCCGGATATGCGAGGCGTAGCTCTCACACACTCGAACTATTTCCTGTGATAGGCACTAAGTCATCCACGGTTCCCTGATGGGCCTCGAAACATCGAGTTTAGCGACTGAGACCGCCTCCTTGCGAAATCGTCCCTGAATCCCACAAAATTAGCGTCAAGATCGGCCACTACCCCGCAATGGGGCAAAGATTGCCTCCAGACCCATACTAACTTATCGTCAATCGTCACTCGAGCGATCATCAGGTCCACATTCCTCTGTACCAGCCAAGCAGCTGTATCGAAAACACGGCGCAAGCCGCTAGGAGCCTAGCTTTTAAAATGGGAGAGGGTTTTGCAATAGAGCTGTTCTACTCCAGTCGACATGGTTCCTGGTAGGAATTGTGGGGTTGACGGCGCTCAACTAGGACGCGGGCAAAAGTCGCCAGGGGAAACCACGGACCGAGGCACGACCTTTGCGAATCCCATGTGAAATTAGGCGTATTGATGTTTGGTATGGATTTGTCTGTGCCATTTGCATTATAATGATGCTCATGGGTTGCTTTGCATGTATTATTAATGGTACGAAGCTTGGAGAGATTTGCTCGGCCTTTCATTGTTTAAACACTGGCAGCTCGAGGCTGTGGAGTTATATCTCTGGGCGCCGACTGTCAACATGTAACCCCTGCCACCAGCGACAACTGGACCCTCATACTATCTGCCAAGCGTCAACTCTTGCCTTTCTCGCACACTAGCCAGCTCCGGCCATTTACAATCTCTATTTCAGCCCATTGGCGAGATACCCAGGAGATTAGCACAACATTTAAGTTCGCGGATGATATCAAAACGGGACCGGCACTCATATCCTGCAAATATCTGCATACTTGTGTGGATGAGACGCTCCGGCTCTCGCCAGCTGGAACGTCGGTGCTCTAGAACTTGGATGGGGAATGAGAAGCAAAGATCATATTACGCTCAAGGACGCCTATATTTCTATAAAAGATGGACCGATGTTACAGTTCCGCCGACGAACTACGTAATAAAATATATTTAGAGAAGATTCGATGGACTAGCTAGAACGTAATAACTCAAAGCCACTCCGGTCTCCACTCGCTTTTAACGCTCTCCTTTTAACTTTCTCTTGCTTCCTCATCGCCCATCTTCGCCTCCACATAGCCTTCGGGATCACGGAATCTGGTCCCACTAGCGTGAGGCCGGGAGGCGTGATTGCCATGATTAAGATGGCGAGGAACATTGGAATTGCATCGAATAAGTAAAAATATATTTCACGGCGGGGGAGCGGGTTCGAGTCGTCGTTGCCGCCGGCGAATTCGATGAGACGGAAGATGATTCGGATCTGGGTTCGCGAACAGTGTTAGCATTCTTGATATGAGGGGAGGCCAGAAATTCGGTAGCAAGACTATAATGAAGGTCTCTTGGAAATTCCCGCCATGTAGATGCGGATTCCTCTCAAGGCTTAGTCTGGAGGGGCGGTATTCGTTGCCTGGCACCTCCAATAAGCTGAACTACAAAGCAAGCAATATCGGCAAAGACGAACCACAGTGTGAGGTTGTAGAGCCTAACGCCGAGGACGGAGAATGAAGGAAGGTAGAAGTGCACCATTCGGCCAAGAATGGTGTAATCGTATGCGTTGATAACTTGCGAGCGTTAAAATGGGATGTGCGTAAAGGGAGAAGCTACTTACATATCGGGGCGAGGAGGATAAGAATTTGAGAAATAAGTGCTAGACCTGAATTCTGTTGGTTCCGCATACTTATTGTCCTCGTGGCGTAAGAACCAAACTCACAGATGGACCCCATGATGATGACCTAATAGAACCCCTTTCGATGGAAAACTTTGTTAGTTAAGATTCCAACAATCATTCCGAAGACTGACCTTTTTATACTTGATACCCTCAGCGATGTGAACAAATGTAACGACGATAGCGGCAACGAGCGCAGCAGCAAAGGACGGGTAGTAGTTACATTGCAGTTGCCTGGGGGAACATATCCATTTGAATCTGGCGTGACTGTTGGGCTGCATTCGGGAATATCGAGTGTAATGATTTTAGCTGCAACCGTCTCGTCCGGAAGGGTGATGGGTCGATTGTAACAAACTGAGTACGAGGAAACAGAGTAGTAACAAAAGTAGTAATAGGAGTGGGAAGAGTCACCGACATCAAAGCGATGAGGAAACAGGTGGATCCGTTCTTCTGATTAGGAAGGAACATTGCTGGAAAAGAAAAAATATGAGTACAAATTAGAGCCAGATATTGGAAGGTATATGCTCCGAGGACAAAGCCATTATAGAGGAAGGAGAAAGCTTATATACTGTTGAGAGTATATGCGTTACCTACACACTACATCATTAGTGTGAAAGAACGAAGATGAGGACGATGACGACTACGACAAAACCAGCATTCCGTAACATAAGCACGTAACGTGAGCAGGGTGTAAATCGACGCACTTACAATTCTAAGACTGGATGCCAGACATGCAAGTAGGCCTCCTCCTCAACCCCTCTGCATCTGGCACTCTGCAATATTAATATATGCATATATAGAATCCGACGAGTCGTGCGATGAATCCAAACCCGCATGCCAGCGCTGCATCAGCACAGGTCGAAATGCGACGGCTATGTCTCCGATATCCTTCCCTCGAACGCACAGGACCAAGCAGCCGCCATAATCCATCGAGTCCTCGTGCGCGTTCCAGGAACTGCACAAGAGAAACGCGGGTTTCAATATTTCTTCATAAATACTGCAAGGGAGCTCACGGGCTATTACACGTCGTCGTTCTGGAATACCTCATCCTCCAAGCAAGCGCGGCTGAACCATCGCTACGGCATGCTGTCATAGCAATCGCTGCTCTCCACGAGGAATTCACAAATAGGCGCCTAGGACGAAGTTCACCTGGCCACGATAATTCCGAGTCCAAGTTCGCTATAAACCAATACATGAAAGCGGCACCGGTCCCTATCAACAGGAAAACAAGCACCCCTCACGGCACTGATGTCCTGCCTCTCTTTGTTTGTTTTGACTATTTAAGAGGGCATTCTGATTCCGCTATGATGCATTTACAAAGTGGTTTGGGGATATTACGAGATTTGGGCAAGTGAAGAGGATAGAGATATTGCGGAGCAGAGTATAGCACCATTATTTATGCGACTCTCTGCCCAGTCGATTTTATATATCGATACGAGGAATTTGGTTGATAACAGACGGTTTGCAAAGCAACTCATGCACACAAAGACGAAGGAGCTGGCTTTAATCCCGGACTCGTTTGAAGACTTGGAGGAGGCGAGATCTGCGCTAGATATGGCTACTAATGGGCTATTTAGGGTGTTCTACATATGTATTGGCAAGTGAAGTCTGTCGTTTAAGCCCTCTATCATTCCGTATCTATCCTACCTCCACCACAGTTGTGTATTCTAGCTGGTGTTAGAGAAAGGGAGCAAACCAAGGAAGGTCCAACCCCCAGAAGCCTACGCTACCTACAAGACCTACAGCGCGCAACTCCTCGCTTGGGACTCTTCTTTCTCCGCCTCCATGTCCCTTAAATCACACGCCCTCACCACCCTTCAAATCCGTGGCGCTGCGCTCCTGAAGATCCACCACACAACCGCCACAATCATAGGCCGCTGCGTCCCCGACCTCACCGATCCTCGGAGCATCATCGCCGCAGCCAATGACCCCAGTTTTCTCTCGGAGCACCAACGACTTCCAAACCGTGGTCAGTCTCTTGCAATCGCTGGTCGCAGCCGCGGAGCAGGATATCCAGCGGAAACGGCAGGCAATTCATATATGGTATGGAATTTTCGATAGGGCCGGTGTTATCTAGAAGAATGAATTGTCTAGAAGAATGAAGTGTTAGTTAGAGTTAGCTTCTCCATTAAGGGTAGGTCATATTAACCGGACTCAAGTTTTTCTGCGACAGCCGATCCACAAGCTGATATATGGGCATTGCCAGTCTATTTAAGAATTGTCAGCGACCTGCACCCCCAAGCAATATCAAGAGCAGTTTTGAAGGCTACTGCCAGTCGGGGAGTTGGAGAATCAATTCTAGCATGTCCCAACACTCCACAAACTGCTGACGAAAGAAGAATTATCGGGGGTTGTTAAAAACATTTTGAAGAGCTTAAATTTAAGCTTCCCTATGACACTTTTGAGACTTAGGGAATTGTTCCTCGCCAACGTACCACCTTTTGATTTTATATAAAGTATCATATTTGTTATATATATTACTCTATGGAGATCATACTCTGTTAGTTCAGGTGATAAGTTAATAGACCATGGACAAAACAGATTAATTATTCGCGGTGGCGATTTATCCACAAATCGGAGCTCGTGCTCAAGTTGAAATATCATCACAACCACACCCCCTCCATCCGAGTACCTAAATCATTTCCATTCAACTTCCACCAAGGACAAATCAACCTTTGTACAGAAAATCCTTTGATTTGAGTGACAGGAAAATGTTGTAGCCTTCTTCCAAGACGGCCGCTCGTGATATCCTCCAATGACGCTTTCCGGGGTTATGAAGCTGTTGAAGATCCGGGTGCTTTCCCACTTGGCCTTCCCAGTGCGCGATTGCGTCCAACCTCACATCCGAAAAGAGCAGTCACGCACACGCGCGAACCATCACACGGAAGCAAAGAACCATACTATCCCAAAAATCTCAAGCGGCGAAAATGCATGGACGAGTAGAGGCAAGATGAATCCATTCCAATCAAGAGAGGGGTATTTCCAAACGCCAATTCTCCAACATCCAAACCCAACACTCCAACACCCAACATTCTCACAACCACCCCACCACCCCTCAACCCACCATAATCCACAAACCCCTACTCCCCCTCCCCACCCAACACCCTCATAACAACCTCAAACACCCCAAACATAATTGCCGACGCCGGCACCGCACGCATCAAATGCGGCGTCAACCCCCCATACAGCGCGCCCATCCCCTCCTCCCTCACCACCAACCGCGCACACTGCACAACACCCGTATACTTCAGCACCCCCTCCACCGGCGCCTGTCGCAGCCTTGTCCGTAGAACCTCATGCGGATACGCAACTCCAACTGCAATCCCCTTCGATCCCCCCGCCGCAACAGCCCACATAGCACCATCACGGACTCTCTCCCACACCCCCTTTTCCCTCCCCCCACCCTCCCCTGCTCCCCCTCTCCTCTCCTCTCTCTCTGTCATAGCCCTCTTAACCCGTTCATAAACAACCCACATAACCACCCCCTCCCCAACCCCCAAATAACTCGCCCCCAACCCCCCCCACAACCCCCTCCACCCCTCTCCCCCCCAAATCTTCCCCACACAATCAATCGCCCCCTTATATCTCCCCCCCCTTCCAGGATCAAGTTGCACCCTCGTCTTAACGACCCAGACGGGACACATGACAGTACACACCACTCCCCCCGCCACCGCCGCCGAGATGGCATGCAACCACCCGCCTTGGACGCCACGCCTCTCTAATCCGCGCTTCGCGCTGTTGTAGGTCCAGAATTTCAGTGCGCTGCTGGGACCAAGACCGGCGATTAGAGGGATGGCGCCTTTGAATAGTGCGCGGGGCCCTTCGAGGCGGTGGATGTCTCGTAGTAAGCGCAACGTCTCGTGGGTGTGTCGTGTTGGGCTGAGAGAGCGCGCTGGTAGGCCGCTGCCACCGGAGAATGCGGGGCGGCGGTAGAATTCGGATTGTAGCCGCGTGCGGAGAACGTCTAGAGGTGCGGTGAGGATGGCGGATGTTACGCCTCCGGCTCTGTGGGTGGTTAGTGTTAGTCATGAAGAGGGTTTGCACTAGGCTGTGGGGTGGGAATGGAGGGAAATACATACCCGCCTGCCACAAGAGGGACCCACTGCTTCGATCCCTGTATCTTGGATACGGTTTCGTTGTTTGTACGGGGCAGCGCAGGGAACTGGAGAAGGTGCGTTCTCTGGCCCGATGGGGATGGGCGTGTGCTGCCCATGGATGGTGTCTTCACTCCGGCTCGAGAGGAGGGGGTTTTGTGGTGACGAGATTCGATAGAGTGAAAGCAACGAGCTCTTGAAATAGATAAACAAGAAATCTCGAAATTGCGAACTGCCGAGGCGAGTAACAAGGTAAGGGGGGAGTGAATGTGTACTACCCAACAGAGTACCACGAATATTTTGTATGACAGACGGACTGAGAGCGAAACAACATCTGCCTGATAAGTGATAACACCAGATAACAACCACCCCTCTCCTCCCAAGAATTCACTTCATCCAACAAATCCAAATCTCCCAAACGCTACACCAGTAAAAATAATCATTCGTCTATATAAACCGTCCCTTCCCTTTCCTTCCCTTTCCTTCCCTTCCCAACCCACCCCACTCCTTTATTTAAACCCTCCCCCGACCTTCTTTCTTCCAACAATAAATCGGCCAACGAGTAGACAGCAAAAACAAGCTTTAAAACTTTATCAACGCCAATATGCCAGTGTACAAAATGCCATAACAACAAAACATGCCCAAAATATAACGCTCCACACCGACCCAGCTTATTCCCCCCTTTGCAAGAGCGCTCAGAGAAAACAAATACCGAACCCAGATTCCGCCCCAGCCCCTCCCAAAATGAATAAATAACAAGGCAGCGGCCTTCTATACCACATCCACCGTCTTCCCCCCACAATTCGGGATAACAACCCCCGGCTTCAGCACGCGATTCACATCCAGAATCCCCCACTGATCCTCCCACTCCTGCGCCGGCTTGCCCGGCTCAGCCTTGGTATTAAACTTGATCTTCCACGGCTCATCGAACGCCTCGAACCAGAAATACTGCGTCCCATTCGTCATCGCCTGGCAGACCCACTGCTCCATAAATTGATTCAGCTCCGTCACGCCCGCCACACTGCCCTTGTCGCACGTGTACACGCCGTACCCGCAGTCCGTGCCTCCCTTGGTCGGCCACCCGGTCTCGGCGATGATGTTCTTCTTGAGGTCCGGTTTGAGCGGGAAATCCTGGTTCTGCCAGAACTGCCAGGTGAACGCGACGGCCTCGGCGATCGGCTTGCCCGTGAAGAAGGGGTGCACATTGCTCAAGATGTAGTCGCTCTTGGCTGCCAGCGCCGCGTCCCAGCTATTCCCCAGATCGCTCGTCGACACACTCAAATCGTATTTGAGCGTCTTGAACTTGGCGCGCACCTTGTCCAGCAGCGCACCGAGCGCCCATGAGTCAATGTCCTTGCGGAAGAGCATCTCGTTGCCGATGATGGTGCCGAGGAAGGGCGTGGTGCCGTAGTTCTTGAGGATGTCGTACATCTGGTCCAGCTGGCGCGAGTTGGTCGTCTCGTTCTTGTCCTGCCACACGCCCAGCCAGATCTTAACCTTGTCTTGTAGCCCCAGCTGCTTGAGAGAATGTATCACCAGCTCCGTCTGGTTGCAGTCCGTGCCGTACAGGCGCACGACGTTGGTCAGCTGCGATATCACGGCCATGTCGCGGGTGACGTTGTTCTGTGACGCCGGGTAGTGCAGGCAGTCGGGGTACTGCGTGTACATGGGCGTGTAGTCCATGCCAGGGAAGACCTTGTGCAGCTTGGCGTTGTTCAGCAGCGCCTTGATCTCTGCGCTATCCTTGGTGAGGTCGCCATTTGCTTTAGTATCATCAGTAGCACTGCCACCAAAGCCCGATGCAGACGACGAGTTAGTGTCGCTGGAGCCACCTTTCTTCTTCGCCAGCATCGCACCGAGCACGCCGCCTACAGTTCCACCGATCACGAGGAAGGCGATGACCGCGATCGCGATCCACATCGACTTCTTGTGCTTTTTGTTCTCCTTCGCCATCCAGCTGTCCTTCTCACGCTCGTTTGCGATAAACGCGGCGTGTGCGCCGGTCCCAGTTGATGGCTTTCCGGGGCCGCTGAACAGCGAGGCACCCTCTGCTGCACTTCCACTGCCGTTGCGCGTTGCTATCCCGCCGAGAGCTCCAGCGCCTAAGGCGCCGCCAGCAGCCAGAGCACCACCTGTGCTTGTGCTGAGTCGGTCGGAACTCCTCCCTAAACTTAATAGGGAGTTGCGGTGGTGCGAGGGATGCACGTAATCGAGTCCATCGTCGCCATCATCCACGATGGCACTCGGGTCCTGGAGTTGCCACGACGGGTCTATCCTCTGGGAGTAACGCTGCAGCGCCGCGTCCTGCTGTGGATCGTGGCCCGCATAATCTCCAGCTCTCGTGCCAGAATCTCCCGGCCTCGACACCGCCATGAGAGGAACTCTGGCAGCAACTGGATAGCCCTGCCTTGAATTCCCCTGCCCCTGTCCCTGCCTCCCATACATCTCCCCGTCGTAAGGAGACCTTTCCCTCGAATCGTACCTCCGGTTGTCGTATCCCTCGTCCGAATAATTATCCCCTCCATAACACCCCATGTGCGCCGGATTAGCTGCCGGATTCACGACCGGATCAGCATCTCGATACCGTTGCTGCCCCCTATATCCTGGCCACTGCCGTTGGCTCTGGTTGTAATTCAGCGGCCTCCCGTCGACGCCATATTCGGGTATGCTCCTCATCGCCTCCATCCCGCTCTCTCGCGGCCGGTTATCTGCGACACCCATCGCGATCCCAGCAATGCCCCCGCCGGCCTGTTGCCCGAAGTTGTCTGCGCCTGGCGTCGTGCTCGAGGCCATCGAGGTAGTGTTGTAGGGTTCGCGATTGTAGTACTGTTGTTGCTGCTGTTGCTCCTGACCAGCATGTGGTGGCACGCTTGGTGGGCCTCGCTGTTGGGAAGGCTGTGTGTTTGCTCCTGGCACCGGTCGGCGCTCTTGGCGGGTGAAGCTGCCGTGTTGTGGGTAGATGGGATTCGGCGGGGTCGAGGACGCTCCTGGGTGATTGAGCGGTTCGGCGGAGGGATCGTCGTAGTCGTTGGCATATCGTGACATGATGAAGGGATGGACAGATGAGGGTCTCCGTACTCGATCTCGTCAGCGGGGCCACCAGTCGTGGCGAGGAGTATAGTGGGTTGTTAGCAGCTGTGGGAGTCCAGCGACATTGGGGCGCAGAAGTCGTATTCTCGCTGGGTCCGCGCTCTGGCGAGATTGATTTTGCTTCGTATTCCTTTTGGGCTGGCGTGGGCGCAGGCGGGGGGGTTAATGAGCGGCGTAAGACGGAAGGAGCGGCGTGGTGGAGTTGTGTTGTATATTATTGAGCGTATTCGCAGGGTAAACAAGTGAGATAAACAATTGTACAGCGACAGCATATGTCCGAGTGCATAGAGTATAAAGACACACTGTACAATATGGGACAATGAATTTGAGGAGCATCAACAGCGGCAGGACGGCGGTGGTGGTGATGGTGGCGGCTTTGGTTGGGTTTGAGGATAGTTATGGGGATAGTTACAGGGAGGGAGCCAAGTTCCAAGTTGCAGCAGGGAACAGCCTGCCAGTGGGATTTTCGGTTGGTGAGACAACAAATCATCACCACTAGGAATTGGCAGGGATTAGGAGGAAGGGGCCAACTCAGCCTCGCTGATGTGTTGACTATACCCGAAGAGGAGTAGTCGGGAGCAACCGAGGGTGCCAAAATTAGACCCACGTCGTCTCGTACAGTATTATGTCGTTAAGTCGATGTAATTGGTCATGCATAAATATATCGAGTTATAGTAATATCTTATAGTAATATCGAGTTATAAAGTGATCTGAAGTAGACCCGAAGTAGCCCCTCAGCTAAACCATCCATCCATCCAACGTGCCTTGAACCAAGTCATTGGCCTGTTTGGCCACTAATTGCCTCTCCACATGCTCTAAAGAGCGCAAAAATGATGCTGGATCCGTGATGCCACTATTCTCAGATTCTGAGAACTCAATCAGAACTTGGAGGGCTTGTACAGCATTCTGTATGGTGAGCACAGGACGCTGGGGCTCCTCATCGTCATCATCTTGAGCATCAGAAACCTGTATATATGGAGCCATCGCCTCCTGTAGAATTGTGTCCTCATCTAAGCCTCCATCCACCTCTTGTACTCGCTCCTCTGCTGGATTCAAAAAGTTCGAAAGGTCCATAGCGTCTGATATATGACCAGTTTGTTGTACTCGAGTATATAAGTCGTTTAGAACAGGAAGTGTATAGGAAGCTGTATTGGGCGTAAAAGAATCGTGCTTTTTCAAAAGCAATTGTAGATAGTCATATTTGTAACGTCATGGTGCCATGATCGAATAAGCCAGTGAATTGCAAAGTGTATTGTCATTGTTTTGATTGGATCCAGGTTGTTGCTAAAAGATTCGAGCATGAACTCAAGCCATTGCCGATGATAATATCTTTTTAAAGAGGCTATAATACCTTGATCAAGAGGTTGATATCGACTGGTCGCATTTGGAGGAGCCAGATAATTCTTATGTTTGGAGGAGGAGGCGTCGATTCCACTGCAGTGATATGGGCTGAGAAGTTATCCATTGTAAGCAGTATAGAACGTGACATACCAATATGAGTATAGAAAGCATTTAGCCAATCTGCCATAACAAATTGATTCATCCAAGCCTTCTTATTCCACCTCCAAACCCCACCCATTGCCCCTACATCAACGTGTTGTAAAGCTCGAGGCTTTTTAGCCTTTCCAATAAACTAAAGAGGAAGTCGATCTGTTCCAGCAGCATTAACACAAATGGCTACTGATATGCGTGCTTTGTCCTTCTTCTGTCCTGGAATTGATCATGTTGTAAAGCCCTTTGAAGGGCTCATCCTCCAGTAAAGCCCAGTCTCATCCATGTTGTAAATATTGTCCTCTAAAAACTCCCCTGCAATAGTTTGTATAGCCTTCATTTGTTCTTCTGCAGTGACACCAATAGATCCAGCTTCACCATGTAGAGTTCGATATAATATATTATGCCGTTGTCAAAACTTTACGATCCATCCGTAGCTAAATTCTGGTGTAGGTAGTCCATGGTGTAATGGTGGGTGCACCAGATATGAGAATCTAGCCACCCAAGGAAGGGATGAATTTACTAAGACAACACACTGTCTTAGGAAACAGAGCCAAAGGGTTGTAGCTTAGACTATTCCACAACGCAGCAATCAGGTGTATGATGTGGTGAAGTGGTTTAGACAAGTTGCAACAAATGTTGAGTCTGAGAACTCAGGGGTAAGTCAGAGGTTAGCACCTCACTGACTTTTCAAAAACAGAGAATAACAAGATCAATGCTTGGAAGCTTGGAAAAGACGTAGAAGTATGTGCTAGTCGATTTACTGTATTGCCTGCTTGCCCTTTCTTAAGGAAAGGGCAATCCTATTTATGCCAAAGGAGTGTAGTTCTCTCATTTTCCATGACTTTCCATGACTAACCAGGCTTGGTAAATGTATTAGAAATCAAGTGCGACCCACAACTAGCT